AGTTCCTTTTTCTCCACGTCCTTTCCAACACTTGTTTCTTGTTTTGTTAATTATAGCCATTCTGTCTAGGGTGAGGTGATATCTCATTGCAGGTTTTTTTTTGCAGAGGAAAATTTTTTTTTGCCCTGACCTAACGTCAGTTGCCAATTTCCTTCTCTTTTTGCTTGAGTGACATTTGTGCCAGTCTTCCTTCATTTTATATGTGGGTCGCCACCACAGCATGGCTGACAAGTGGTGTAGATCCGTCCCTGGGATCTGAACCTGCGAACCTGGGCCACCAAAGCAGAGCCCACTGAACTTAAACCACTACGGCATGGAACTGACCCCTCATTGTAGTTTTTATTTGCGTTTCCTAATAATTAGTGATGCAGAACATCTTTTCATGTGCCTGTTGGCCATCTGTATATTTTCTTTGGAAAAATGTCTGTTCAGATCTTCTGCCCATTTTTTAATTGGGTTGTTTGTTTTGTTGTTGTTGAAATGTATGAGTTCTTTATGTATATAAAAGGCTTCGGGGTGTAGCTCAGGGGTAGAGCACTTGACTGAAGTCTTTAGAGATGGGTAGCCTATGAAAAGTTCTGGAAGAATAAGTTGAATTTTGAGAACAGGAGAGGAGGAAGGGCACAGTGGGTAGAGGGAACATTGGAGAAAAGACACAGGGCCAGAAATGCTTTCGGGAAGCCCTGTGGTGGGTGGTTAAGGAATGTAGATGGAAGGCATGTTTTGTGGGCTTGTAAAAATAGGTGGTTTATGTTGCAGAACACATTGAAGGCCAGTGTGGGGAGTTCAGACATTATTTGGTAGACAGCAGAGAAACTTTGAGGATTTTTAAGTTGACAGTGGTGTGAACGGACCCGTGCTTCAGGAAGATGAATCTGGCAGTATTGTGTAGTATGGTTGGAGGAGGAGGAAGAAAGAGAAAGTGATTAAGAAGGTTAACAGCATTGAGTGAGAAGTATTGAAGGCCTAAAAGGGATGTTGGTGATAGAAATGGGAAGAGAGATTTTATAGGTAGAAGCAGCCGTGTGATTTGGCAGTTGATTAGATGGATAGAGGAAGCAAGCTTTTTGGCTTTTGTGGGAACAGGGGAATGGTGAGAACATTAAAAGAAATAGAAAAGAGGCAGAAGAGCTGGTGTTGTTTGGGAGAGGTGGGGAGAGATTTGGCTTTGGTTGTGTTAGGTTGAATGAAATGCTCACAGGATAACTAGGTAGAGGAGTCAGTCTATTGAAAAGTGTGTGTGGGGGGGACGTTAGATACTAGACATGATAATGTTTTGGTTCCTAGTTACAAATGCATACTACTTAATATCTAAAACCCAGCAAGAAGGTTTCAGCCTTTCTTGTCTGTTTTTAGGTCAGTCAGCAGCATTCAACTCTTTATGGGGCCTGAATAGAACACAAAAGAAGAGAGTTTTGTTTTTTTAAATTTAAATAGCTATAATGCTTAATAATTGTCTAAATTTTGGCAAGCTTGTTTGTTGTATCTTCCCCTAACAAATTCCTTAATATCATCTGATGCCCAGTCCATGTTCAGACTTACCTGATTATCTAAAAAATGTCTTTTTACAGATTTTCTTGATTAAAAAATCATTGCTTTTAGTTGGTAACTAACACAAGTCTCTTTTATTACCCCCTCCCCAATTTATGCTATTTATTTGAAGAAACTGGGTCACTTGACGTGTAGATTTTTTCATATTCTGGGTTTGGCTGATTGCATCTTTTAGGTGTCATTTAAATTGTTTCTTTGCTCCCTCTATGTCCTGTAAACTGACGGTTAGCTTTGAGGTTTGATTCTATTCTGTTTTTTTAAGGTGGTAGGATAAGAATACTTACTAGGTGGTACTGTGTGTTTCCCATTGGAGCGCATCAGGAGGCACAGACCACCTACATGTCCCATTTTTAGTAAGTTAAGATTGGTCATATTTGGGCCAGATGTTGTCAGCCTAATCCATACAATATAATGTTCTCACATCAACCAACCTGTTGTCTAAGGCTTTTTTAGTAGCTAGTGATGATTGTTGCAGAGAACCTTTATATCAGTTGGATTGGAAAATGGTGACGTGCTAATTCTGTCGTTTCTTCTACATTTGTTAGCTGGAATTTTTCTGTAAAGAAGACCTTGTCCTACTTGACTATTTGGCTATCCTGGAATATAGTTTACACAGGATATAGAAACTGGATGTATGGTCAATTCTTTTGTTTTATTTGCCAGTTTTCAGAATAATGAGGTTTTTAAAAGTATCATTATGAACTCATGACTTTATGTATTTGACATTTTTCAGTCCATTTGCAGTCTGTCTGTGTGTATTTTTATGCTCTAATTATCTCATCTTTGGCCAGTGGGAATCCCTTTAAGCTGGCACATGTGTCCTTTTGCCATGACCCCATTCATCTTTGATAGGTTTCTTGCTTGTAGTCACACTAAAATGTCCCAGGATCGTCTTGAAATTTCTTGCCCAGACTTGGAATTTTTTCAGGGAGCTCAACTTCAAAGAGATTTTTGAGAGGAAAAGATTTTCACTTTGGGAAGCTATTAAAGAATAATACAAGAGAGGATGCAGTCATGTAAAATGATAGCGATATTCTCATAATGAGTTGGGGGCTTATAAGTACTGTAGGAAATACCAGTGATTCTTGGGATGTTTGAGTAGTCATTTTGAAAGAGGTAAGACTGGAACTGGGCCATCAAATAGAAGAGAAAATAAAAATTCGTATACCCATTGTAGGGGCGAAATTGTTAGGAGATGTGAAAGAACATGTGTGTGGGCTAGTGAAGGAGCTTGACTAGAACACAGAACTTGACTTTGGTCTTGATCTTGTGAACACTGGAGAATAAGAGAAGATTCTTGAGTCTGGAAGTGAAGTTGAAAGTAAAGCTTTAGAAAAGTTAATATTGTAGCAGGGTTAAGCAGTTGCATAAAGCAGGGTTCTCAGCTGGAGATTTGCAGCATAATCTTTTGAAAATGGAGAAAAGAAACCCATACCTGGGGTCTGTCTTAAAACCATTAAATACCAGGCTTGGGGAGTCTAGGCTCATTTGCTTTTCAAAAGACCCCTGTGTGATTCTCTTTTGTGCAACCATATTTAAGGCCTATTGGATTAAAACTAAAAGCTCAAAGATCAGTTCCACTATTCCAAGTATGCTAGGCATGAGGTAGTAAGGACAAGGATAGGGTAATGGCAATGGGAATAAGAAGAAGGAAGGGATAGAAAAATGCAAATTTATGTTTCAAAAGTTTTCCTATGGTATTTCATTAATAGTGTTAAAACTAATAAAAGGATTCAAAGAGAAAAACAAAGATGACACCAAGATTTAAGGTATAGGACCACATAGAAGGGAAGATTGGTGGAGGTTGCTGGTTTCGGGTAGAAGATAATGGGACATGTTGAATGTTGAGATGTTGGCTGTATATCAAAGTGAACTCTGGGAGGTTGAAATATGTTCTGTTTCTTGCTTTTTCTGAATGCTTCATTCGCTCTCTTTTGGCAGAGTACTCAACTAGTGACTATATGTAATGCTATATTGATTGGGAGCGTTAATAACTAAGCTTAGATTTGATAAATGTGTTCACAATAAATGTTTGATATATTTAAAAAAGAACAATCTGTTTAATATAAAATGAAATGGAAAACAGACTGGAAAAAACACTGCAGCAAATATAAAAAGATTAGTATGAATAAATACTGTAATCATTTGAAACAAAAACAAAAATAGTCCATAAACCAGGCACAGAACTTGAACAGATAATTGTCACAACTGGGAAATATAATTCATTAATTCATCCCTTCAACAAACATGTACTGAGCTCTTTCTTCAGGTACTGTTCTAAGTGCTAGCAGACAAGATTTCTGAGCATCCTCTTGTTGGTGTGAGAGACCAAAATTTCAAACAGTGATAGTGCTGTTAAGAAACTAAAATAGGGTAATGAGGTAGAGAGTGGCTTTTTGGTTTTTATTTGGTTTGTTTTATTTATTTATTTTTGCCTTTTCCTATGGAAAGCATTAGTAGTTATGTAGCTGGAGATCAGCATTCCTCATCTCTACTTAATTGTGTGGAAAAAGATTGGTCAGATTTAAGTTCTGCTGGGGTACCCTGGTAATTGGATTCTAAGTATTCTTCTTTCTTAGTTTTTTCTTTTGTTTCGTTCTTCTTGAAGATGTTTATGTAATGCATAGAGTACAGATTGAGATTTGTTGTTTCTTGTGGAAATTACTTATGTGGGTTCTTTTCACAGAATAGTGTTTGTTTTGTTCTGTTGGGAAGGAATCTATTCCTCTGAAAAATGTTCACATTTTTTCCTGTGCCTTCATTCAGTAGTGAAATGTAGTGATTTGATTCTGCCATGAGTTAGGGGCACATCAGAGGATAGAAGCTGAGTCTCTTGGAACCTTCTCTGCTTGTTGTACAGGATGGTTTTGAGGGTCATATGAGATACACGTGAAAGGAGTTATCAATATTAAAGGAATCCCTGGATGCTTAGAAGTTAAAGGAGCTAGCTAGAGCTTCTCTTTGTCCTTTGCTGTTGAATTATATATCACGTAACTGAATGTTTCAAGCTGTAATTAAAGTATAGAAAGTTTAGTGCCTTTCTTCAAAGAAAGATAATGTCACAGTAGTAAGTCGTTTTGCAGATAGGAAGTTGCTTGTGTAAGAACTCTAACAAATAAACATTTTGTGTTTTTCATGTATTACTGAAGATCGATTGGGAAAAACAGCAAGAAAGACACGTTAATTTGCAGAGATATTTTTATGATTAAGTTTAGGGACTTTTTAGGGATGATAAAGAGATAATGGAATAGGAAAACAAATTTCAGTCTTTAACTTCTGTTTGATAATTTACTGTTGAGAATATAAGATTTATAGGGAAGAAAAGGGATGAGGTTTTTAGAAATGGAAACAGAAATAGTACTAAGATAGAAGATAATAGCTCTTAGCTCAAGTTAGCCCGTGCATTCTTTAATTCTGACTACCTTGTATGGAATTTTTTCTTTTTAAAGGAAACTTGAACGTAACTTAAAAAGAAGTTTTGATTCTTTATTTCTGGACTACGTATATATAGCAAGACCATCAGAATGTCGGGAGCCTCAGTGAAGGTGGCTGTTCGCGTGCGGCCCTTCAATTCTCGAGAGACCAGCAAAGAGTCCAGGTGCATCATTCAGATGCAGGGCAACTCAACCAGTGAGTACATGTTGTTTTGTATCAGTTATACTCAGCTTCCATCCTTCCTTTTCCTTCTGCTGTGATCAGAATAAATGAACATCTGGACAGAATGATCCATTGAATGTTTTCCCCCTGTGATATTTGCTGTAGCATGTTTAAATATGGACTGTTTTTTGTTCTTTACAATTGAGAAATCCCTGGAGAACTGAACTAATTTATGTAGTGTTAAGTTGAAATCTTAATGATAAATACTAAAGGTGTAAGCAGTGATTTTTAGTAAATGATGACATGAAATATGCCTTTTGAGGCTCCAGGATGATTTTTCTTTCTTGATTTTAAATAGCACTCGAGGTTGCCAAGATGGTCTTAAAACTTACTCTGCTCCCTGACAGTGATTCTTTGAGGTGAACAACAGATGTAGCTATAATAGATAGTAAACTTACTCTGCTCCCTGACAGTGATTTTTTGAGGTGAACAACAGATGTAGCTATAATAGATAGTAAACTTATAAATTATTACTAAAATTAGCAGTCCTAATGGTTTCCTAGCTTGTTTCTCTATATAATTACTTAGGTGAAAAATGACTTAAGCTGGTTTCTTTTGTATTTGCATGAATAATTACTTGAAATTGATCTGTAGGCAAATTAGTACTTAAAATAGTGGTAAGTTCTACCATTTTGAAACCTGTAACTTTGTGATAAAACGGAATCATCGTTCTTTCAGACACAAGTTAATGCCGAATTGTTGGGGAAACCATTCTGATCTCATCTATTTATGGGCCATTTGCCAGTGTTCTGTGTAGAGGATTCTACCAGTGGGAAATAAAATTATATATTTCTATATGTAAGATGCACAATGTGATGTTTTGATATATGTATACATTGTGAAATAATTACTACAATCACACTAATTAACAGATTCATCACCTCTCATGGTTACCGTTTTTGTTTTGTGGTAAGAACACTTGAGATCTACTCTCTGAGCAAATTTTAAGTATACGTTATTATTAACTATAGTCACCATGCTGCACGTCAGGTCTCCAGAACTTACTCGTCTGATAACTGAAAGTTTGTACCCTTTGATCAATATCTTCCCTCCTCCCCCACCCCCCAGCCTCTGGTAACCACCATTCTTTTCTCTGTTAATATGAGCTCGACTGTTTTTTCAGATTCCTCATGTACAACTTTGAGCTTTCTATTGCTCATACACTTCTTTGAACTTGGTAAAGAGAACTTGGAACAATCTATTGTTAAAAAGAAAGATTCGAAAGTAGGAGTCTAAACTGTTGTACCATTGTTTGTATTTTACATTTCTTTGTCAGTTGTGCCAGTGAATCTGAGTTATATCCTGTAAATAATTGTAAAAGAAAAAGGGATAGCAAACTGAAGAAGAAAATGCGATTCCTAGTTGAACACCTTTTCAGAATAGGGCCATAAATTTTGGAGTTGGTGAAGATATTAGTTCTGGTCACCCATTATTGCTTATCTCCCACAAAAATCTCTCCAGAATTATTGAAAATACTGATATGTGTTTTGATGAAATACTAAAAATGAATGTCTGTTTTTTATTAAAAGTAGTAATTTGTTTAGAATAGGCCTAGGTATATTGTACTAGTTCTATAAAAACCAAGCTGTGGACCACCTTAAGCACAGTGCTGAGCTACCACTGGTTTTTCCGTCATATTTTGTCCAAAACCTTTCTAGAGAACAGGCTAAGTGGCTCTGCTCTGCCTTGCCCTTTCTTTCTTTCCCTTCCATTCTTTTTTCTTCTTCTTCTCCCCAAAGCCCCCCAGTACATAGTTGTATATTCTTTTTTTTTTTTTTGAGGAAGATTAGCCCTGAGCTAACGTCTGCTGCCAATCCTCCTCTTTTGTTTTTGCCGAGGAAGACTGCCCCTAAGCTAACATCTGTGCCCATCTTCCTCTACTTTATATGTGGGGTGCCTACCACAGCATGGCTTGCCAAGTGGTGCCGTGTCTGCACCTGGGATCCAAACCGGTGAACCCCAGGCTGCTGAAGTGGAACATGCGAACTTAACTTCTGTGCCACCGGCCCGGCCCCTATAGTTGTGTATTCTAGTTGTAGGTCCTTCTGGTTGTGCTGTGTGAGACACCGCCTCAGCATGACTTGATGAGTGGGGCCATGTCTGCGCCCAGGATCCGAACTGGTGAAGCCCTGGGCCTCTGAAGTGGAGCCCATAAACTTAACCACTTGGCCATAGGGCCAGCCCCTCCCTTCCTTTTTTGAGAGTCTGCTATAATGTGACTCTGTGGGGATCACAGAGTTCTATGTACCATAGAAGTTTTTAAAGTTTATTGTGGGAGAGACAAGACGTACTAAAATAATGTCTATACAAAGTAAAAGTGATCAAAGTGCTAATTGCCATAAAAAGGGTTTTAAAAAAGTGCAGATGTGAGTTTGGTAAAAGGCACATGTAAGATTCATAGATGATAGGGCATTTCAGCTGGACCTTGAGGAATAAGTAAGGTATAAACTAAACATCCAGTATCTTTGGGGGAGATTTCAGAATTGTAGTTTAATAGAACTTATTAGTGTTGTAAGTGGGTATTGATACTCTCCACCCTCATGTGGCTATAACACATTGCCTCTCTGCACATAGATATTCAGCAAGAGAAATTTGTGGCTTTTAAATTAATATTAGGCTATTGAAACAAAAATCCTCATTAGATGAATCAGCCTTAGAAAAATTAGGGTTAGTTTATAGCTAAATATTTTGTCATGGCTCAGAGGGTTTGGGGTAGTTTTGGTTCTTTTGAAAGGTGTTTGTTCTTGGAAAGCTGATTATCTAATTGTATGAGAGACATTTTCCTCTAGAATTTTTGGCGTTCTTGTAATGTTTTCTATTTTATATGGCAATTTCTTAGTAATTTGACTAATATGTAATTCAAGTAATTTTTTAATGAGTGTTTTTAAGTGAACTGCTTGCTGCTATGTTTAGAAAGTATTAATGGCTTGTTAAAAAAAAAAAACCATTCGGCTTAAGTCTGGGAGAGAGCGTGCATTCTGAACCTAGAGTGGTGGCAGAAAATGAAGTGAGTTTGCTGTAGCCACATGTGTTAGCTGCATTAAAAGACTGCTCTCCTGGCAAGCCAGCCTGGACTGCTGCTCACGGGGATTATAGCTGATTGCTCATGGAATGCAGTGGAATGTTCCTGCCACAAGTTCTCTTATGAAAAAGTCTGAGAGGGTGAAGAGTACTTTAGGGAATGTGCCACATCTGAAAACTGAGTAGTAGCCTTTTTATTTAAGCGCTTTCTGATCTTGGAGGGACTGTGTTCCATGGCACAGATAAATGTTACTGCTTTGACATTTTGGAGACCTGAGTGCGTACAAATGGCTTTGTTTAGTAATGTGCCATTATCTTCCAAGTTTCTCCCACTTTGGAAGCCTTTTTTGTTGTCTAATTTTAAAAAGGAAAGTGGGGCAAAATTAATACTCTAACTGCTCACATTTGTGGTTAGGTTACATATGTAAACCTGGAGACTTCGAAACTGCCTAAATTCCCCTCTGAAAAACAGGAGGTGGATAAAGCTGATTCTGAAACACTCCTTCAGGTGATGAAATTGTGATTGTTTGCTTCTTTAACCACAGGAATCTGTCTCCAGCCCTTTGCTAAGTCTCCTTTGTGTATTTATCAGTCTTTCTTTGTCCAGGGTATCTTTTTTTCCAGTACCCAAGTCTTAGTGGGATAGAAGGAACCTTCTTTTGTTTTTGTTTTCTTCCTGTTGTTTACATTTTACATTTTTTTTTAAAGATTTTACTTTTTCCTTTTTCTCCACAAAGCCCCCCGGTACATAGTTGTATATATTTTTAGTTGTGGGTCCTTCTGGTTGTGGCATGTGGGATGCTGTCTCAGCATGGCTTGATGAGTGGTACCATGTTTGCGCCCAGGATCTGAACCAGCGAAACCCTGGGCCACCGAAGCGGAGCGCGCGAACCTAACCACTTGGCCACAGGGCTGGCCCCTACATTGTACATTTTTAAAGGCTTTTTCATTTACACATGTGCATTTCTAAACCAAATGCTGCACGTCACAACTGGTACACAGAGTGACTTCATGTCCGTTAATGAAAATTTGGCATGGAGAAAGGGCAGGGATGAAATGGAGGTTTGGAAAGGAAGACTTGAAAGGAATTCTTTTAAATCTTTATGCTTTTTCCAGCATAAATTGATAAAATCACATGAAAATAAATATGAATGCATTTAGACTATGAACATTCTGGAAAATAAAGAAGAGGCAAAGAAAAGTCGCGTCTGTTCTTACCTCCTTACGACAGCCTACTGCTGCGTTTTGATGCATTGTTGTTGTTGTTCCCATTAGGTTAAATGGGTAGAATCTTTATGTGATTTTGTGTTCTAGTCTTTTGTTAGTCTTTAGTTTTTTTCTCCTATTAGTATTACCTAATTCTTACTTGCATTTTAGTCTGAGTTTCTTTTCTTGCGGCCTATGGATAGACTTCTGAGTGCCTATCAAGTTGGGAACCCCTTGAAATTATATGCAAAATGTGTTTTATGCATTTTCTTAGAAAGGGGGTAATCACTTTCGATACATTTTTCGTGAGATCTGTGTCCCCAGAAAGGGTTAAGAAGCACTAGCCTAGAATTAGAATAAGGTCTCCTTAAGTCTTTTCCAGGATGAGGTAGGACATAATTAGTGAGATCAGACTAAATCGAAAACTCCATAATAGCATCTACTACATTTACTTAATTGGAGTTGATTGAAACCAATTTTGTCCTTTAGAATGACTTTTGGAATGAGTCGGTAAAGGGAAGGTCCAGATCTTGCACTGTCACTGTCCTCCTCTCCCTGTAAGGAGATTGGTGGAAGCTGATGGCAGAGTCCCTCAGCAGTGTCAGGATTGGGGAAGCCTGTGATCTCTAAATCCACCCTTTAGCACAGGCCTGTCTGCTGGCCATTGACTTTGCTGTGGACCTTTTTATACCCTGACCATTCTTCTGCTGCCTCTTGGTTGTTAAAAGCAGCTTTTACCTTCATTTTCCGCAGACCCAAAACATACTTTGTCTTTTTTTCTATATCTGACACAATTTTGTTTAGCAACTTATTAAGTTGACATTCTGGGATGTCTCCCTGTATTTCTTATGTTTTTCTTCTACTGGGATAAAGTTTACAGTCATAAAGAAGGGCATTGGACTACACCTTCTTCTAGTTGAGATACATTAATTTATTGAGCACATTTTTTAAAGTATTCTTTAAGAACATGATTTTAATGGCTGTATAGTATTCTTTTGATTTATGAACCATAATTTATTTAGCAAATCTCCCATTACCAGACACTTGGGCCTTAAAACTACTTTTTAGGATTGCTGTAAAGAAGACTAAGCAAGCCCCACACAAGTGGGGAAGGAATTGTTTTGTACCTGTCTACCTGGTGTCCCTGCCTGCCTGTCTAATAAATATTTCAAACTCAACATATCCAAAACTGAATTCCTGATATATCCTCTTCCAATCTGGCTCCCCTGCATTCTCCCTCAGCTCTTTTTGTTGTTGTTGTTGGGGAAGATTCACCCTGAGCTAACATCTGATGCCAGTCCTTCTCTCTTTGCTTGAGGAAGATTTGCCCTGAACTAACATCTGTGCCAGTCTTCCTCTATTTTGTATATGGGTTGCTGCCACAGCATGGCTGCTGACAAGTGATGTAGGTCCATGCCTGGGAGCTGAACCTGGGCTGCTGAAGTAGAGTGTGCTGAACTTAACCACAAGGCGGGGGGGCCAGCCCCCTCCCTCAACTCAATTAATGGCAGCTCTATCTTGGAGTTGCTCAGGGCAAAAATCGTATAAGCATACTTGACTTCTCTCTTAAACTCTATCCATCAGAAAGTCCTGTGGGCTCTGCCTCAGAATATATCCAGAATCTGACCACTTTTCACTCCCTCTCCTGCCACCACCTGCAGTAACCTCCTAACAAGTCTCCTTGTTCCAACCCTTGTCCTCCAGCAGTCTCTTCTCAACAGCAGCTAGAGTGATCCTTTTAGAGTAGAAGTTGGACTGTTTTTTTCCTCAAAACTTGAGAGATGGTTCCCATTTCACTCAGAATAAAAGCTAAAGTCTGTGTAGTGACCTCCCCTCTCACTTTGTCAAACATTTGTAGCTTCCTGGGTCTTTCACTTAATAGTGTATTGGGTACGTTTTTCCCGTGTCTTAAGTATTCTTCAACAACATGATTTTAGTGGCTATATGGTATTCTGTCGAGTTTGTGAATTATACATTAGTTAGCTCATCCTATTTTATCATAAGACACGTGAGCCTTAGGTTCTTCATTTAGAGATGTTGCTAATGCCTACCAAGCCTGCTATCCCAGGGTTGTTGTGAGGATCCAGTGGGATTGGGTGTACAGCATAGAATGGTATTTGAAAAATTATTTATTAGATTGTTTTTTGTGGTTAGTTTTGGTCCCTAAATTGTTATTTCAATGGGAATATAAATTTAAAGGCAGAAACAATTGAACCTATCACAAAGTTGGAAGAGGCCTTTGGTACAGTGTATTTGGAACTGCTTTTTATTACAGTGTATAATTTAAATTTCTTCAGTTACCTAAATAAGTTGTTTTCATATCTAGATTCCAAAACAGCAAAGAGAGGTGATTGGATAAAATCTTGCAGGAAACCTAGTCAGTCCTCTTTTTTTTTTTTTGAGGAAGATTAGCCCTGAGCTAACTACTGCCAATCTTCCTCTTTTTGCTGAGGAAGACTGGCCCTGAACTAACATCCATGCCCATCTTCCTCTACTTTATACGTGGGACGCCTACCACAGCATGGCTTTTGCCAAGCGGTGCCATGTCCGCACCCGGGATGTGAACCGGCGAACCCCAGGCCGCTGAGAAGCGGAATGTGCGAACTTAACCACTGCGTCACCAGGCGGGCCGCTAGTCAGTCCTTTTTCTTTGCTGCTTTGCATTTTATTGTTCTAGTCTTTTGAGGCTGCCTTAATTAAATCCAAACTGTACTTCATGCAACCTTTATATGTGCATTTGTTGTTTTTTTCAAAGGGGAAGGTAACTTTACCCAGGTTTTCTTTTTTTAAATGCCTTCTTTGCAATTCTCAGGAGATGTTTTGGAGTCATTTTTTCAAGTCCATGCCAATAACACGATGCTGATTGCTTTTGGTAGTTGCCCAGTGAAGTGTGAAGCGCTGTAATGGGAGCTAGCAAAGTCTGCAGTGCAGTGGAGTTAGTGAGACTGTGAAAGGGACCACTACTTCCGGTCGTACAGTCGGCAAAGTAGGTATTCAGAGATTTTTAATAGTATATGAACAATTGTGCTTAGTTTAAGAAAAACATTTCTAGTGGGCTAAGAACTCTTCTTAGTTGCATTGTTTAGGGATGAATGGTCTGTACATATAGGTGGTAGGAATAAGAAATGTGAATTGAGGTTTTGAGAGCATCTATAGGAAATTAGGATTTTGCTGTTCAGCCACTGTGGGCTAGGAGGCCACAGGGCTCTCAGAGAGTTTAGTCTTGTCTTAGAGATAAATCATCAAAGAAGTGTGGTGACTGTTATGAAAGCATTGACGAGAGACAGCTAAATAATAGAGGGAGGGGTTTGGCGGCAAAAGGTAGGGAATGTCTGGAAAGCCTTTTTGTTTTGGCAGAACATACAGAAGACTGTATGGCCAGAATTAGCAGAAGCTGTGTAAATGAGGAAATGATTTGACTGTATTTACTATTTCCCTGTGACAGTGTTCTGGTCTGATACTGAAGGGCTCCTTTTGTGAATGTTAATAAACCTGAGGAGGCAAAATGGATGAAGGGAAAAACAAAAGCAGGTTTTACTTTTTAAATTGCCTTTTGGTTGAGTGGGAGGGGAACACCATGATTAGTGATTAACAACAACAACAACGATGAACACTTAAACTGTGCCAGCCACAGTTAGGCACTTACGGATTTTAACTCGTTTAATCTTCGCGATAATCCCATGGCAGATACTCTTATTTTCCCCATTTCACAGATGAGGCCATTGATACTGGCTAATTTGCCTGGGGCCACACGTTTAGGAACTGGGAGGACTGGAAAAGGAAGTCCCTGTCTGACTCCAGAGCCCTCACTGTCAACCTCCGTGCTATACGTATTGCCTCTCAAAACATTTATTGTTTTACTATTGTGTGTAGTAATACTGAAAGTCTATGTCTAATTTGAACTTTTAGATTAAAATTTATTTTGATGTCCCTTCTTGATGCAGGGAAATTGTGAATAAAAAGGGCATTGTTATTAGTTCAGACATCTTTGTGCCACTTAGATTGAACGACAGCTAGGCCTTCGAAATCGTCTCCCTTCAAAACCATTCAAAATTTGCCTAGGAGGAGCAGATTTGTTGTTAATTGAGAATTTAAGGTTTGTTATAGCTAGCGTATTTATTTTATACCCAGTTGATAACATTGTGACACTACAAAGTTGGTAATTTTTTTTTCCTATTGTATATTTATTTTTAATACTCTGGGATTGAGTAAATAGTGAACACATACGATACATTTATCCTGTTTATAAAATTTGGAATCTAAGTTTGTTATTTTAAATGATTAAGGAACTTTATGATTGGAAATCTTTTGCTCAAATCTGCTGTATGGCAATTTGCTTTATGCCATTGTAATATATTTCCAGAAATATATTATTCTGAGTAAGGGAGGGGGCTGCTTATGGGTTTTGGTTTTATGGTTTTGGAATATAAATGGTGTACAAAATACTTTTATTGTGTGCCAAATTTTTTTTAAATTTGGGGTACAAGAAGCTTTTGGGAGAGGAAGTTTATGCTGAAGATGTCACTGGGATTTTTAACAAGCCCCAAGCGAGCTGTGTTAGAAAAGTTAATAAAAAGTCACAGTGTTGCCACAATGATATGTTAATTGTAGTTGCAGGCAAAATCTTCAGTAGTTTGCCAACAACAGTATAATTGCTACATAGAGACTTTGAGATGTTAGATAAACAAATTTATTCTGGAGAATAAAAAGGCTTTTAAATACAAATCTTGTTTTGACTGCCTTGTTTTCCAGGGCTTAGTAATTAAAACATTGTTTCTGCATCCTTATGCTGAGGTAGTAAACTTGGAAAGAAGGCAAGGAAAAGGGGGCTAAAATTGGGGGTCTTAATATAAGACTTTGTAAGGCTAATTTTGACTTGAAGGGACTCGAAAAAGAGAACATGGTCTTGTGGGTCATCAGTAAGTTAAAACCTGTGGAACGTTTTGTGATAGTCTTTTTAAAGGCGTTTGCATTTATCTTGGATAAGGGTCTTCAAGTAAGCCTTTACGTGAAAGATGCTGTCCTGTTCGTTGTTTACTCTTCTCCAGCTCTATTAAGGTAATGAATGTCAGCTACAGCATGAGGAATAAACCTTTGAAGACAAAAGGAAAAAGCTGTGAAAGGTGTAGGGAGAGGATAAATGTGGGGTCATCTTCCCTGTAGTCTTGGGAAAAGATAAAATCAGATCTTCAGTTCTGAAGCTGCCTTTTTGATTTATGAAGGGGAACTTCAGAAAAACAGCCTTGAAACCAGACAAGATCTGAATGGCAATGGGAGCTAAGGCCCAGAGGTGAGGGTGAGCAGAATGAGTTATTGGGGAAGTCAGGGGATAGATAGCGTGAACAAAAACTCATTCCTTTGGGGAGTCCAGAAGATGCTTCTGATAATAAGCATTATAATAATTGTAGCTAACATAGCTAGACTTCCTCCTTGAAACGTTTCCGTCTCTTGGCTCTCAGGACCCCATGCTCTCCTGATTGCCTTCCTTACAGGCCATTCTCTATTCTTCCTTACCTCCTATGTTGAAAGTGCACCAGGACTTTGCCTCTTCTCTGTCTCCAGAGAAGACAGACACTCTACGTGATTTCATTCAGGGTCAAGGCTTTAAATGTCGTTGAGATGATGTTGTCTCTCAAGTTTATTTCTCCAGCCTGGACCTCTCTGTAGAGCTCTAGACTGGTCCACCCAGTTGCTAACTTAACTCTACTTGAAAGCCTAAGAAGTATCTCAAACTTAACATGTCCTCAACAGAACTGTTGTTTTCCCTTCCTTGCCTACCTAAAGTGGCTCTTCCTTCATGCTTGCCCATTCTTTTAGTTTCTAAGACCAAAAATATTGGAGTCATTCTTGCCTTCTTTTTCTTTTTTTTTGGAAAGATTTTATTTTTTCCTTTTTCTCCCCAAAGCTCCTCGGTACATAGTTGTATATTCTTCGTTGTGGGTCCCTCCAGTTGTGGCATGTGGGACGCTGCCTCAGAGTGTTTTGATGAGCACTGCCATGTCCGCGCCCAGGATTCGAACCAACGAAACACTGGGACCCCTGCAGCGGAGCCCGCGAACTTAACTGCTTGGCCACGGGGCCAGCCCCTGCCTTCTTTTTCTTACAGGCCACCTGTAATACATTAGTAAGTCCTGTAATCTCTACCTTCACAATCTGTCTTGAATCTGGTTACTTTTTACCATTTCTGCTCTAGTCCAAGTCAGTACTGCGGTAGCCTCCTATCTTTCTGCTTCTACTCTTGTTTCTATGCAGTAGTCAGTCATATTTTAGAAATGCAAATCAGATTATGTCACCCCTCTGCTTCAAATCCTTTGTTGGCTTCTTGTCACTTTTAGAATACAACTAAAAATCCTCACCTTGGCCACAGGGCCCCACAGAATTTGGCCTCTGGCTCTCTGATTTCACATCTCATCATTGTTTAACCCTCTGGCTATGCTGGTGGTCTTGCAGTTCCTTAAATGTCATTCAGCTTCCTGCTCAAATATCACCTTCTCAGAGGTGGCAGCCTGCCCACTCTTATCTAAAATAGCCGCCCCTACCACCTCCACTGTCACCTTATATCTCCTAACTCTTCCTTACTTTTCTTCTGCAGCTTATATTATCTCTGTTGGTTAATTATTTGACTTCCTGAGTAGAATATAAGCTCCTTGAAGGCAGGGACTGATTTTCACTAGATACCTTCAGGCCTGAGGCATGGGAGGCACTCAAATATTTGTGAAATGAAAGAATATTTTGAACATTTCTTTTGGGCTAGGCCCTGAGGTAAATTCTTGACATGGATTAGTCATTCATCCTCACAACAATCCTATGAAGTTGGGCACTATTATTATTGTACCCATTTTACAGATAAGAAAATTGAGGCTTACCAAGTTTGTTATGTGCCCAAGTTATAGATGGACCCTAGGATGATATTGGATACTTCGGGTGGGGTTAGATTAAAGCCTCTATAGTATTCTATTTCCTTCATTACTAAAATCCTTGAAAATGTCTTCTAGAAATATTTTCTAGTTCAACTCACATTTTGATCATTGAATGTTGGGTCAAATTGTAAGACAGAATTCACTTTTGGGTCAGGAGATCCAGCGCTTTTGGTATAGGAATGGGCCTTTTTCTTTCCCTGCTCCAACAAATGTCTTCTCTGTAATTGGTCTCTACACTGTAGCCTATAAATGTAATCAAGTCACTCTAGGCTTCTCATTGCTCAGGTGTTCACCAGCTCTTTGACCCTGAGATTTTAGTGCTTTTCTACCCTTTGGGGCTCATTGCACTTGAGTCACACCTGCCAAATCAGTACCTGGATGTCACACACTTCTTTTTGCCCCAGGACTTCCTATTGCAGTTCCCTGGCTTAAGCCACATATTGCCCAGTGGTTCAGATCCTTAGAGCCAGATGGTTCAGATTTCAGACTAGGCTCTGGCCTTGGGCAAGTGTCTTCATCTCTGTGTCTCAGGTGCTCCAAATGTAAAATGGAGATGATAGCACTGTCTACTTCATGAAGTTATTGTGAGGATTCAATGAGTGAGTACATGGAATGCTTTAGCGCAGTGCTTGGAACATAGTATGCATTCAGTCAGTGTTAGCTGCTGTTGTTATCACTCCACCTTCCCTAGCTATCTCCTACTTTTCTTTCAGCCCAGCCTTCTCTGTTTCACCATATCAGAGTTTATTGTCTCAAAAATCATCTCTTTTGTATATGTTTGCTTTTATACGTTACTGTTTATATGTTCTTATAGGACCCCCTGCGTACCTAGCATGACTCATCATAATTTGGAAGCATGTATTTATTTTGTGTGATTATATGTCTGTTTCCTCCAGTGGCTGTAAGCTCTAGAAGGGGGCGGAAATAACTTTTTTGCTTCTTATTGTATCCCCAGCACAGTGCCTGGTACATAGTTTGTAGTTAATAAATGTGCTTAGTGAATGTGCCCAATGAATGAAAGTGCCATTTAACTTTTCCCTTCTTAAAATAGGATCTTGGGATCTTTTGCAATAACCTTTCCTTTGAGAATGATTAATGTTAGCGTGGAAGCTAACTGGGAGACTTGGAGAACTGAGCTCGTTGAGTACAAGTACAGAGGGCAAAGGGGCAGAGACTGTTGGGTGACAGGCAGAAAGATCAGGGAAAAGGGCTTGTCTGGGTAGATGCCGTCGTAACAAAGTGTTTTTGTTGAAGGTCTGAGTGATGTACCATCCTGGATGTAGTTACGATATTTATCAATGATTCACCCAGTGCTTATTGAGTCCCTGCTCTGTGCTGGGCATTGAGCCAGGTGCTGAGCCCTCACCCTTCTAATTGAAGGGGAACTACCTGGGAAAATGAATACTGAGGATATTAGCATTTATTTACATCTTTTGGTGTTTACCATGTGGCAGTGCCTCTTGGCTGTGTGTCTTGTGTGTGAGGTCAAGAATCTGTTCCATACCTACACAAGAATCTTTATGCAAGGCAAGCTTGTCATATCTAGAACACTGGAGAAAACTTTGCAGCAATATATTTTAATGGTAACGTACCTCTATCTGTCATGAGATTCCATATTTCCTGCAAAATAGAAACTGTAAGAGACAGTTCTAAAGACATGGAGAAGAAGAGGAATTTCCAATACCTATTCCACTCTTCTGCTTCCATTGTATTTACCTTTATCCTTGCCCTTCCTGGTGACCTCTGTCAGCACATCTTTGTTTCCCTATATTACTTAAAACTTGGTTATCTTTCCTCCTGTCCCCTATTTACCTATTACTGCTGTTTCCTAAAAGTCGTATTGCTACTCTCGAGATTGAAATTTAGATTCCTCCTCTCCCAGAGATTAACGTTTCTTGACAGAACCTGAATTAAGTTGGCTGCTCAGGGAGAAAAACCTCAGGAAGCAAGTGTTGTTGAGAGAGCTACATTCCAGTTCACAAATAAGCATCACCTACTTATGAAGTTCGCACTGTGAGTGACATACAAAGAGGAGTCATGGTTTCCAGCCACAAAGAAGTGATCATCTATAAGGAAAGATAAAACTAACATTTTCATTGGCTCTTTAGGTATATATTTAGTATCTACCATGTGTCAGGCCTTGTCCTGGGAGCTGGGCATATAGCAGTTAATGAAATAGAAGTTCTGGTCTTATGGAACCTACATTACAGTGACTCATATAATAAATCAGATAGTCATAAGTGTAATGAAGAAAAATAAAGCACAGTAAGAGGATGGAGAGTAAAGTGGATGCTGATTTAAATAGAATGGTCAGAAAAGGGCCATCTGATAAGGTGATGTGTGAATAGAGACTTGTGTGAAGTTAGGGAGCGGGCTATTCAGATACCTTGGAGAGTAACATTCCTGGTAGAGCAGTAAATATAAAGTCCCTGAAATAAGAACGTGTTTTTAGTACCAAGGGCAGTGGGACTGGAGTGAGAGGTGAGTCTTTGGAGAGGAGGGCAGAGAGGGAGTGTATGATTGGAAGCCATTGGAAGGTTCACTAGAGGCATGACGGGTGTGATCTGGATTACATTTGACAAGAATCATTGCCTGCAGTGTGGAGATGAGACTTTTCAGGGGTCTGGGGGGGAGTGGGAAGCCCAGTTAGGAGGTATTGTAGTCATTCAGGTGAGAGAGAGGGCTTGCACCAGGGTAGTAATGAGGTGGTGGTGAGAAGCTGTGGGATTCTGGATACATTTTGAAATTAGGGCTGACAGAATAGATCAGAAGTGGAGGGTGAGAGAAGAGTCAAAGATGACTCCAAGATCATCTGTGAAAAGTTGCTTTTGGAGATGGGTCCAGGTCTGGAGTATACTCTGTGTGCAGAGAAATCTTGATATAAAAGGCGGCCTTAGGTGCAGAAGTTTAAAAGGGACCTTGAAAAGTGACGTGAAAACGTGATTTTTAGGAAATAAAGCAATATGAAGTATACAGCTCTTAAAATAGAGTATGTTCTGACTCCAGTCCTCAAAAATATGTCTGGAGTCCTTTCCTTGAAGAAAAAGTAATGATTTATCCTAGACAAAGCCTGCACGATAATGACACATGACCATGGGAGGCATGCTATATTTGTAACAACTTTTACATTGGTGAAAATGTGGTTTATGTTTTGAACATTTTCATTAATTACTATAGTTCCGTTCTTACATGCATGCTTTCTGAGAAACAAATTAGAGGTCGTACACACTGTATTTAGCTCAGTTGACTTTGGTACAAGAACTGTTGTGTTAAATATTGCCCAATCTTTCAGTAACACAGTTCTCTTTATGTTCTTTTTGTGAAAGTTGATAAAATTTACTGGTATTTTATGTATATATTGTATAGGTATGTACTCTTTGGCTTTTTCTTTTTATGCTTCTGAAAATGGTACAGGATTTAGTGAAATTAAAATTATACATGACATAGGGAGGACGTTCATCTGAATGTCTTTGGTGTAGGTCATTGTAGAGGTATAGAGGAGCCACAGACATGGTCCGTGTACTAAAGGGATTTATAATGTGGTAGGATACCAGAGATCTGATGACACATCTAAAGGATCCCAGTGTGGTACTTGGACTCTTGCCAAGAAATAGTATTCTTATTTATGCTTTAGCTTATTTTATCAATTAGTGAACTTTTTTTGTTTTGGTTTAAAGACCATGGAATATGGTTATCATCCCAACCAAACATGATAAATTCGTATTTTTGAAAATTGACATTTGTGTAGTGTTTTACTCATTTAATCCTGTGAACTAGGTATTATTTCACTTTTAGAGAGAACACAAAAGTGTAACAATACCCAAGGTCACAAAAAATATAAATTGTATATTTCTTAATTGTTCTTGATGTATTTAGGATATTAAAAGATAGCAATATGTAGGCACTGATGCTGGTCCTTTGATTCCAAGTCCTATACCTTTTCTGTTACATAGACTGTCTCTCCCTTCCCCCCTATTATTAATGGTTGGAAACCTCCCATTTCTTAAACAGGATGGGTTAAAGCAAGTGAGTTAGATCTCACCTGTTGTTAGTTCAGAGAGAAAAATCCTTTGGCACATTTGAAAACATTAGTTCATTGTTCATGGAAGTAATGGTAGAGTTCATGGGCTTCTGTTGAGCTCAAGTGCTGTTGTCATTAATATTTTATCAGTGTCACAGTTTTTTTTCGTTTGCAGAATTCTGGAATTTTAAAATTTTTTATTAGGAAATATTTCATGTATTCAAGATAATACAATGTATATATAAGTATAAAGAATAATATAAACCAAACGACTCTGTAACTACTACCCAATCTACAGATAGAAATTACCTATGTCTTCTGAGACTTTCTATTTCTATTTATACTTCCTCCTAAAACAGGTAATGATATTGAATTTTGCATTGGTCTAAGGTATCTTTTATAAATATCTTTCATTTAGGAATTAAAATGTTTTAAATATTGTGGATAAATTTCATCTTGTTTGGCATAACTATTATATGAATATCTCTTTAAAATTATATTTTGATTTACGTATTATGTTAAAATAAAAAGATTGTTGTTGTTGTTTAGAGGCAGTTATTTAAAAGGCAGCTTGGTTTCTAAGCTGGGAGTTCAGAAAATTTATTAGTTTCAAAAGTTTCAAAGATTTGGGAGAAAGGAATATTGAAGAAGAAGAAAAGGATTTCATGTGAATCCAGGAAATTGCTCATTGGTGTTTTTCTTTACCAGGGAAAAGAGAACAAAGGGGTAGGATGTGAGAACTAGCCCTTTCTTAAGCTGTTCATGGGGCAGTTGGTTCCACCAGTGAGTAGCTAAAAGGCTGAATGAAAAATGGCTTGAAAGTTTTATGACAGCAAATTTTCTAGAGGTTAGAAATGTTTATTTTAACCTTGTTTTTGAGTAGTGAAGAGTCCTTCAGAGGTCGTATCCCACATCTTGTCATTGGCCTTATTGCTGAGCCACTGAAACCTGGAATCTGGTTCACGCAGTATGACACTAATTTCCCTTTTCTTAGTAGAGTTTGTGTGTGGTCTTTCATCTTTTAGGAACTGTAATCGTCATAGTTCCTAGTTTTAAATAGGTAAAGAGAGTTTTAAGCAATGCCTTTGATAACCATGTTAGAGGGATGGTCATATACATGTGCAAACGCATACGCATTTGTATGCATATCCATAAAAACGCCTTACTGTGTTTGCCTTGGCGGTTTCTGCATGTAGAGAATAAGCATTTAAATGGTGGATGTCTTCTCTAAGAGTGTGGACTCTGGAGCCAAACTTTCCAAGTCCACATCCTGAATATGCCACTAGCTACCTCTGTACCCTTGGGTAAGTTATTTAACCTCTTTGTGATTTTTTTAATCTATAAAATGGAGGTAGTAAAACTTTTGCCTTGTTGAGTGGTCTGGAGGATTAAATAGGTTAGTACGCAGAAAGTACTTACAGCTCTGGAGTAAGTGCTCCCTGAATGTTGGCTATTATTTAAATCTTGTATGTAGTGCCATTTGGTTAGAAGCATACTTCTTTGTTTAGGTTACCATTTGTAGGTGGGGAGATGTTCTTTCTAGAGTCATGTCTCCTTGTCACATGATTCTGGGCAGTGTGAGCCTTATTAATACTCTGTCAGCATTTGAGGCTGGAACATAAGTGTGTGACCATACCCAGTGGAATCCAGCAAGAGAGAGAACTAAGCACCGTAGCAACTGTTGCTATTTGTGTCCTGAGCAGCAGCTGCTCCTGACAGATTTATTTTTTAATCCTGATCTTGCGGATAGCCTGGGATGTGGCCCTGCTTTAGAGAAGTGGATTGGTTGAGATGTCTGGTCTTTGAGGATTTCATGACCACATGTTATAAAGATTCTATTCCATGTGAAATATGAGGAGCTAAAGCTTTGCGTATGAGAAAGGAAGAGAGTCCCTGAAGTATAGTGTAACTGGATTAATTATATGAGAAATCTCTTTTCATATGGGCAGTGAGACTTGATGCTTTTCAGTCAAAAAGTAGTTTTGCTGTTTATAACATCCAGAAGATAATTTAGGGGTCTGTGATTCCAGTGTATACGTATGTATACACATTCATGCACACATACAAATATGTATATAGTAACATGTATTATTATCACCTGTGGAGTTCAGAAATAAGACTGTCTTTCCAATGAATGCTTCATTACCAAATGCTGTTCTGAAGTAGATAATACGATCTTTAAAAAGTTTGTTTCAAATAGTGATTGGATTAATTCAGTAATTTTCTCATTTTTGTTTCTGATGAGTTGAAATATTTCAAGTCTTATGAAGCACCTTGAAATAGTAAAATGGTCCATTTCCAAATTTTGGCTGCTGACTTACCTAGGGTCCAGTCACAAGATATTTGCTCAGCACCTACTATGTACCAGGCTCTGTTTTGAATCCTGGTAATGCCTAGTGAATGTGGTTGGTCTGATTCTTTTGAAGTTCTATACATAGATCCTACCTATTAAAATTGTGATTATTTTTGTTTTTGGGTTGCCCTATTCACATTCAGTGGTATGAATTTACTGATTTGGATGTTTTGAATTTACAGCACTACATCATATTGAGCTAAAAGAATGTGTAACTGACTTATAAAATCACAACATTTTCATCCTCTAGGTATTATTAACCCAAAAAACCCAAAGGAAGCTCCAAAGTCCTTCAGCTTCGACTATTCCTACTGGTCTCACACCTCGGTAAGTGTGTGTATGGTGCAGCATAGTAGAACAATGAACGTTCTGAAAGAGCCTGCAGGTCCACAAGGAAAACAGAGATTACCGACATGTAGGAAAATGGAGAGTAGGGTCCTTCATAGTATCCTCACTCAGTACAGCACCGCATATCTTGCTGGCTTCTAGGGATTGTTCCTAAACTAGAGTTTGCTTCTGCATCTCTTTGTTAGGGTTTTCTTTTTTTTCCTGTTTTGTGTTGGAGTAGGAGATGTTTTACACTGTGGGCAAAGCCTAATTGCCAAGAGAAAGGCCTGTGAAAGGGCTTGGAAAACATTCTTCACTGAAAGCTGTGTTTATTGAGAACTAGCCACACTATCTGGAGCTGGTTCAAAGAAGTATTTTTATATGTGGACTGGACTTTTGATCTTTTAGTCTCATTTTCCACTTAGGAAAATTTTCTTAGACCTCCCTATGAATGGAAGCATGATACTTTTAAAATTATGAAAAATGAAATGGAATCATGCTAGATAATTTCTTGTAGATATTTTCATGTATGGCTGACCTGGATGACTCTAATAGTGCCTCTGTGTGTGTGTGTGTGTGTGTGTGTGTATGTTTAATGAGAAAAATAAACTATGTGTAGAGGGAACTTAAACTTCTGGTAAAAAACTCTTTTATTTATTATAGAAGTAATCAGATAAGCACAGGAAAGAATATGAATGAAATGCCATTTATTTCTCCTTTTAATCTTTACAGCCTGAAGATCCCTGTTTTGCATCTCAAAACCGTGTGTACAATGATATTGGAAAGGAAATGCTCTTACATGCCTTTGAGGGATATAATGTCTGTATTTTTGCCTATGGGCAGACTGGTGCTGGGAAGTCTTATACAATGATGGGTAAACAAGAAGAAAGCCAGGCTGGCATCATTCCACAGGTAAAAAACAAAACAATGAAAAACCTCTGTTCATCATTATTCTTAGTCTTCAATTGCTTTAACAATTATTTTTATTTAGCAAATGTTTATTTAGGGACTACCATATGTGAGGGACAGAGATAAATCCTCTGCCCCTTTCCCTCAGAGGAGCTAACAGTCTGATGGAAAAGACTGACGTGTATACGTGTCTATCGTTAAGGGTGGGAAGATTGATGTTTTGTAGAGGTTTTGCTGTATGCTCAATGTCATGTTATTTTATCTTTGAACAATGTTGCCAGCTTCTTAAAAATGTGATAGTATGTACCAGACTCTCTTCTGAATCCTGGGGACACCTAGTGAACGTTGGTCTGATTTTTTCCCAAATTCCCTGTATGGATCACTTCCTAAGAATGTGATTACTTTTGTTTTCTGATTGCCTTGTTCAGAGATACTTTCCTTTTATCTTATTAATTTAACACTATCACTTTAAGTTTGAGCAGCCTAAGATTTCCTTTTTTAAGAGCAGTTAGTCTTTTGATCTTGTACTGTTTGGGAATGGAGAAGAGTTGTGACTAAGATTATCAGAAAAAATTTATTTGTTAATAACAGGAACATGGTTTGCTTTTATTAATGATATTTGGAATTAATTTTAAAGTTATACTAGTTATTTTTGTTTTATCGCATTACCAGACTTAGTTTCTCCTCCTTTTTCCTTTAATTTTAATTTGTTTGTATTGGAATTCTTGTGTAATTATGTATGTATCTCTTTTCTGGTAGAGTTTTGGGATATTTTATTTTAATGCAAAAGCATGGATTTTTAAAAAGATTATTATTATTTAGAGACTGTCATTTATAGTAAATTTTGAATTCTGTTTAGACTTCTGGAGAATCACAAACATATAATTCATTTTCCAAATCTATACTGATTGCCTTAATACTAAATACTTAATAATAAGCAGATTTTTATTAATTATTATTATTAAAATAGTACATATTTTAAATACTAAGTATAGGGAGAGAGACATTTTGTAACTTTTCTGATCTAGAAAAATTGATGGTTTCTATTAGAACTGTCACTGTGTAGTGGAGTAGCCTCTCATAAAGGGGTTGGAATCTTAAGACCAGAGGTAAAGGGGAAAATTTTATAGAGTCAAAATTATTCTTGAAAATATCTTCATTTACTCTCTTCAAATAGTATGCATTCTCTCTCTGGATGTATGTACGCATAAATTTGTAATGTGTATAGTAATTGTTAATATATGTTTATATATCGTGGTAAGTAATATATGTTCCAAATACAGTTTAATAGTAGTTTTATTACTGCAGTAATAATACTGATGGTAAAGTCACAGTTGCTGCAGTATAGTATGAAGAGTTGAATTCACATAAGTTAAATGTGCCAATGACATACCACTAGAAGAGATACAAATTCCTCCTTTTCCCCTAAATGTGGCTTGCTTTCTAAGGAAACATTATTGAGATACTATTGTTGAGGGAGAAAAAAGATTAGATGAGAAGAACGTATTCAAAACTTCCCTTTTATTTCATTCAAAGCATTCACCTTTCATGTTGATACCATTAATATTTTGAGAAAGAAAGAGGATCTTGCTAATTTGTTTAGCACTTGTGGGTAACTTGGTACTTCTCTGATTTATGCTGTTCATGCCTCTCTCATTCTGCTTCTCTAGTTATGTGAAGAACTATTTGAGAAAATCAATGACAACTGTAATGAAGAAATGTCTTATTCTGTAGAGGTGAGTACAACCAGAGGCACCTGTACTCTGTTCCCTCAAAGTTTACTTTTGAATGGTTCCAAATTATGACTGTGCTATAGATTACTCAACCCACGTTTGTACTTTTAGGCTATTTCTAAGTTTTGGTTATAATGAATAATGTTGCAATTAAATCCTTATTCATAAGTCTACGGCTTTATTGTCAGTTATTTCCTTTGTATGTATCTTGGTTGTCAAACAATACATTTGAATTGCCAAAGGCCTTTTAGAAAGAAAGGCTATACCAATTTTCAGGCCCATTGGGAGGGTCTAAGCACCCATTGTGCCTTTGCCAACATCTAGCATTTTCGTTTTTTAATCTTTGCCAATTTGGTAAGGGAAAATTTCTTACTCTTAATTAAATTAGAACTTCTTTGATTATTAGTGTGGTTGAACATCTTGTAAATTATGCATATGCCTGTTTATGTTTTGAGATTGCAATGTTTTTCTTATTTGTTTGTGTGAACTCTTCACTCTTTAATGTTATTAATAATGATTTTTGACAGGCATAAGTTTTAAAAATATATAATCAAATCTCTTCTCCCCTCCACCCCTTTATAATTGCTTATAATCTTGGAAACTTAGTCTCCATGCAGTGTATATCCTAGCTCTTTCAAGAAAAGGTCTATAAAATTACATTATGTGTGTGAGTTTATTTGAGAAACATTTCCACTTTTTTGCGTGTGCTTTATAAAGCTGTTGTTTCACACACGCCAATTTTTGGTATTCATTTTCACAGTAACTGAAATTATTGTTCTGTTAACATGAGTCTATTCTGAGAAATTAAGATGTTTTTAAAGCAAACTTTAGATTTTCTTTTTTTAATGTATGTGTTGTGATTTCCATAGGACTTTACACAGTTCCTAGTTCACCCACTTAGCTGCTCTGGGTTTTTTTCTCTACCTTTAAAGTGGTGCATAAATTTTAAAGAATTCTGCCTTCTGACTGTCATTACCAAAAGGGGAATGTGCTGTTCTAAAAATGTTTTTTGTTAAAATGAATTCTCTAAATAGCTTGTCTTATCCCTTGACTGTTTTTGAATATTAAATGTATAGCAAATGAAAATTCAGTAGATTTTTATTAATCTTATTAAAATATCACATTTTAAATAAATTCAAAGCATAGTGAGAGTGACAGTGTGACAGCATCTTTTGAGTTTATGGGTCATAAAAGAAGATGCCAGTTTCTCCCGTATTAGTCAGAGTTCACAGGCTCATTTGGAGGGTAGTGTGGATCCCTAGTTGATACTTTGTTGATCCTTATGGTTCTAGGAGCTCTACCACTTCTCTCAAGTGTTTCCTCTGCTCTAGCCACACTGGCTTTTTTGCTGTTTCTGAGACACACCAGGAACCTCAGGGCCTTTACATTTGCATTTCCTTCTGCCTGAAATTTTTTCCCCTGGATATCTTTTTGACTAAGTTTTTCACCTCCTTCAAGTCTTTGGCTCAAATCTTATCCTCTCAATGAGGCTTATCTTGACCATCTTATTTAATACTGTAACTTACCCTCTACCCCAGCACTCCTGATCTCTCCTCCCTTGTTCTTATTTTTTTTTTGCATAGTACTCATCATGTTCTAACCAACTTTATAATTTTACTTATTTTTTATGTTTGTTCTTTATTTTCAGTATCCCTTGTTAGAATCATAAACTCACTAGGGCAGCAATCTTTGTTTTATTTACTGATGTATGCAAGGTGCCTAGAAAGTGCCTAGAAGATAATAGTACTCAGTGAATTGAATTTGCCAAGTGGGTCTATAATGGTTGGTTCAGAAATAGTGATGGCTTTAGATGTATTTGCATATTAGAGAATGAGTAATGGAGCACATCAACATTTACCCGGGTTATTTGGGTCCTCTTAGTCTCATACCTGTGTGAAAAGGGACAGGTTTTCCAAGAAGATATAATATCTTCCTGGGATTCAGGATTGTATACAAGTTAAAAAAAATTTTTTTTATTGAATTCACATTAGTTTATGTCATTGTGAAATTTCAGTTGTATGTTATTTCTTGTCTGTCACCACGTAAATGCTCCTCTTCACCTCCTGTGCCCACCCAACACCCTCCTTCCCCTGGTAACTACTGAACTGTTTTCTCAGTCCCTGTGTTTGTTTATATTCCACATATGAGTGAAATCATATGGTGTTTGTCTTTCTCAGTCTGGCTTATTTTGCTTAGCATAATACCCTCCAGGTCCATCCATGTTGTTGCAAATGGGATGAATTTGTCTTTTTTATGTCTGAGTAGTAGTCCATTGTGTATGTATACCACATCTTCTTTATCCAGTCATCAGTCAGTGGGCACTTGGATTGTTTCCATGTCTTGGCTATTGTGAATAGTGCTGCAATGAACATAGGGGTACTTGTGTTACTTTGGATTGTTGATTTCAAGTTGTTTGGGTAGATACCCAGTAGGGGGCTATCTGGGTCATGATATTTCTATTTTTAGTTTTTTGAGGAATCTCCATACTGTTTTCCATAGTGGCTGCACCAGTTTGCATTCCCACCAGCAGTGTATGAAGGTTCTTTTTTCTCCACACCCTCTCCAACATTTGTTATTTTTAGTCTTAGTGATTATAGCCATTTTAAGGTGGTATCCTAGTGTAGTTTTGAATTGCATTTCCCTGGTGATTAGTGATGTTGAACATCTTTTCGTGTGTTTATTGGCCATCTGTATATCTTTGGAAAAATGTCTCTTCATATCCTCTGCCCATTTTTTGATCAGGCTTTTTGTTTTTTTGTTGTTCAGTTGTGTGAGTTCTTTATGTATTATGGAGATTAACCCCTTGTCAGATACATGATTTGCAAATATCTTCTCCCAGTTGGTGGATTGTCTTTTGGTTTTGATTCTAGTTTCTTTTGCCTTGCAGAAGCTCTTTAGTCTGATGAAGTTCGACTTGTTTATTTTTTCTTTTGTTTCCCTTGTCTGAGAAGACATGATATTGGAAAAGATCCTTTTAAGTTCAGTGTTGAAGAATGTACTACCTGTATTATCTTCCAGGAATTTTATGGTTTCAGCACTTATCTTCAAGTCTTTTTATGTGTATGGCATGAGATAAAACTTTCATCTTTTGCAAGTGGTTGTCCATGTACAAGTTTAAGTACACGAGAATGATTAAAGTACCATTTTCAGGGCAGGCCCAGTGGCTCGGGGGATAAGTGCACATGTTCCACTTCGGCGGCCGGGGGTTCGCTGATTTGGATCCCGGCTGCAGACATGGCACCGCTTGGCAAGCCATGCTGTGATAGGCATCCCACATATAAAGTAGAGGAAGATGGGCACGGATGTTAGCTCAGGGCCAGTCTTCCTCAGCAAAAAGAGGAGGATTGGCAGCAGATGTTAGCTGAGGGCTAATCTTTCTCAAAAAATAAATAAATAAAATAAAATTAAATTAAAATACCATTTCACTGTCTAGGATGACCTACTTTAAGAAAGAATATTTATTGTCCTGTTTTACTTTTGTAGTAAATCAATTACTTTATCTTTGAGAGTTGTCAATATTTTAAAAACTGATTTTAAAACAGTATAAATATACAGTCAGATCAGAGATTGAGGGAAGGAAAAAGGCAATAGAAATAGAGATAAGGTTCTATTTCAGGTACTCTGAAAATATGTCTATAAAAATTTAAAGTTGAAAAATGCAGAAGTTACATTGTATGCTTGAGTAGCTTAGTGATACAGAAGTTTCTGATTCCTAGAGAAGCATGATAATGAGGCTTATTGTGGTGAATTTACCCCAGTTCAGAGCCTCGTTTGCTTAGAAGCCTGATCTTGTAGATAATATCAGGAACAGAACCATCCTTCCGAGTCAGACTTTTGAGTGAAGCTCATTTGACATTATGGAACCAGTACATTGGTTTGTTACTTTCTCGTGAGGAATAATGATTACCCAAATCGGAACAGTCGTATTAGCAAGACTGACAAATTATCTTCCTGTGGGCAGACCTCTGTTGGAATCCTGTTGGTGTCTGGGTGAGCGTGAAATTAGAGGGAGAGGAGTTGATTAGACAGATTAAATGTTTAATTGCTTCAAGTGAAGAAATGATAGCCTAATATATCCATCTTCATGATAAAAATGCTCCTGCTGATGGGACAAGAGTTTCTGAAGTATATTTACTGAGGACTTGGATAGGTCCTGCCACACAATCAAATTCCATGCTGGCCAACCCTGACCCCTCTAGTAGATACATCTTTTGTCCATACCAGTCACAGTTTGGTCAGTGTTAAAGTATTAGCTGATCTCCTGTCTTCCTTGCTCTGGAATATTGGTATTGTTCCTTGGTTTTAATACCAATAGAAATCTTGTTTCCACGCTTTTGTACTAACCCCACTGTAATCCACAATTAGTTGACTACAGCATACATTAAAAAAATATTAATAATTGATAAGTTGCTACTAAAAATGATGTATTTTCTGCCTAAGATAAGTAGCAGCTACTGTGTGCTGAGATAGCCTATTACTTCCTTTTCTTTCCTGAGATGTCAGAAGGCTGGTTCTAACCTACTCAGTGATATTTGTGCATACTCTTAATAGAATAAAAGGGACTAGGAATGTGGCATTTCACTGTAAAGATTGCTGATTTCTAATTGTAGAGCTTTCAATAAAAGCTTAAAAAAATCTTTTTAATGTATAAGATTTCTTTTTTCAAATCCTCTAATTCACTTTAATAATTTGTTCCTAGGTGAGCTACATGGAAATTTACTGTGAAAGAGTACGAGATTTGCTGAATCCAAAAAACAAGGGTAATTTGCGTGTGCGTGAACACCCCCTTCTTGGCCCCTATGTGGAGGATCTGTCAAAGTTGGCAGTCACTTCCTACACAGACATTGCTGACCTCATGGATGCTGGGAACAAAGCCAGGTATGGTAGGAAATAGACTAATGACTGAGGTCTTTGGCACGTTTTGAGGCCTTTTGTTCACGGTTAAGGGTTTGAGACCACATTTATAGCTATGAAAATTGCATTAATTGTGGAGTCCTCTGATCCTTTGTGCTGAAGTGAGGGCTTTAGCATATTCAGTATCTTCTCATCAAAACAATGCGCTGCTGAAACATGTTAGAACTTTGGTTAAGTTTTACTCTTAGGTTTTGATCAAGTCATGGTAAAATGTTGGTTATCACATGCCTATGGTAGTAGTTGATTCTGGAATAGATGAGCATCTGATACAATAAAAATTAAATGCCTCAGTGGTTCCAAGGGGGACAGCTGGAGTATGAAAAATGCTTCTGATGGGGTACCTTTGGCATTGGAGGATAACTTGATGACTCACAGATAAGGTGTATTGAGAGCAATTTGTGTAAGTGACAATCTTGTGCTCTGTGAATAAGTTTAAAGGGGTTGCTTGTGATTGTTAGGCTTAAAAAGTGGTGCCTGCTGTCCATTTTAACTTTCATCTAAGAATTCCATTGTCACGTGGTCGCCTTTATGTTTGTTTAGGACAGTGGCAGCTACCAACATGAATGAAACAAGTAGCCGTTCTCATGCTGTGTTTACCATTGTTTTCACCCAGAAGAAACATGACACTGAGACCAACCTTTCCACTGAGAAGGTAGGAGAACTTTAGTCTCTGGGCTTGAGTTGTGTAGAATGGGAATTTTGAGAAGTCCCTGTTGCTACCCTCTGCATTTTGTGGAAGGGAGGAAAATTGCCCTTTTGCTTAACAAAGGGTATTTTATATCTTCTTCTTGTCATTTGTATTCCACATGAAACCAATTGTGAGCATGAATTCTTAAGTGAAATTGCGAGATAGGAAACAGGGTTAAGAGAAAACCAATCCAAGACTTTGGGTCTCAAAAAATACTCTATGCAAGAGAGTTAAGCAGTCTATGGGGAGAAAATCCTTCCTTTTCTTCTTGACTGGATCTTCTTAATTATCTTACTAGCTTCTTTGGTATGTTTATATATTTTTTTTGAGTTCTGGTAATGTTACTGTGGGATAAAATGTTTAAGCAAACAATTCAGCAGACAAGATATGTTTCATTCTTGGACAATAACTGCACAGCAGTCCCGATGTTCTTCAGTTACCTTTCGGTGTTCATCTCTTGTTTTTTACAATAGTTAAATATAGTAGATTTTGGAATTAAACTGCTTGCTTTAGATTGTGGTTCTGCCACTTTTTAGCAGTGTTAACTTTGATAAGTTACTTAATCTCTTTGTGCCTCAGTTTCCCCAGCCTCGTAGGATTGTTAAGAGGATTAAAATATCAATATAGGTTAAGTGTGCATAATAGTGCCTGGCACAGAGTAGCCACTCAATAAATGTTAATTTTATTGTTCATCATAAATTTCTGTTGGATTCTGCTCTGCCTTCATTCCGAAGTAGTATGCAGCCAGAATTTTAAATCTGAAGTTAGACATATTGTACTGGTAGTTATAAAAGATCCTGTGCCGTATAAACTGAGTACTTTATGATACCAATATCACTAAAAATAGAATCACACTTTACTTGGTAACTTGTTTGTTTTTAGCTTAAAATTATTTTTAAAAATATATTCTTCCTATAGGTGATCAAATAACTTGACACTGCTTAGCCAAAGGTTACAGTATTAATGCTGTTTAGTACTCAGTATTTGTCTGAATGGCACCAAGGAACATCCTACATAAAAGCATTTTTTCTGTTCTTCCATAATGTCAGATCTACAAGAATAATGATTTAATCCCATAACTATAGCTTCCTTGATAATCCATTTTTGTCTAAATTTTCCTGGGGCTTTATTTTTTTAACAACTGCATCCAGGTATTGTTGAAGTAAAATAAACCACACATTTAAAGTGTAAAATTGGATCACACGCAAGTACTCCTGTAACACCAATACCATAATGCACATAATGAGCAGTTCCAGTACCCCACAAAGTTGCCTCATGCCCCTTTGTAATCTAACTGTACGCCTCCTTCCATCTCCATCCTCAGACAATCCTAATCTGCTTTCTGTCACTATGGAAGGTTTACATTTTCTAGAATTTTATATAAACGGAATCATATAGTCTGTGTGCCTGGCTTCTTTTACTTAGTATAATGATTTTGAGATTCAGCTGTGTTGTTGTGTGTATCAATAGTTCACTCATTTTCATTGCTGATTAGTAGTCCACTATATAAATATCTCACAGTTTGTTTATTAGTTCATCTGTTGAAGGACATTTAAATCATTTCCAGTTTTTGATCGTTACAAATGAACATGCCATGAACATTTGTGTACAAGTCTTTGTGTGGGTATTTGTCTTGGTTTCTCTTGGTAAATACCTAAGAGTGGAATGGTTAAGTCTTATGGTAGGTGTATATTTAGCTTAAAAATCTGTCAAACTGTTTTCCAAAGTGATTGTCTCATTTTCTATTCCCACCAGCAATATGTAAGAGTACCAGTTCCTGGAAGCTTCATTTTTAATATGCCATCTAATGGGTTAATGCGTTTTATATATTTTTATGACACACCATTGTAAAATAGGTCTTATTTATCCTAAAATTACTTCTTTCAAATCAAGATAGTTGCTGTGGACTTTTTTGCATACTCTTCCAATTGACTACAGTAGATGTTGTCTTTGTCTTTTTATGCCATATAAGAGCCCTAATTAATACTTTTAGTCTTCTCTAGGCTTTAATCTTTTAATTTCCTGCCTCTAAATGTTTTCTACTCCTACCTTGCTTATTTTCAAATTGCCCTAAAGTTACTGTTCTTTACCAGGTTAGTAAAATCAGTTTGGTGGATCTAGCGGGAAGTGAACGAGCTGATTCAACTGGTGCCAAAGGGACTCGATTAAAGGTATTTATTTTACCAAACAAATGGCCTAGTTAATAAATGTTCTATAACACAGGTCAGCAAACTATGGCTAGTTGGCTAAATCTGGCCCACTGCCTGTTTTTGTAGATAAAATTTTCTTGGGACACAGCTACGTCTATTTGTTTATTTATTGTCTCTGATTGCTTTTGTGCTACAATGATAGGGTTGAGAGGTTGCAGCTGAGACCACATGGCCCACAAAATCTTTACAGAAAAATTTTGCCAACTTCTAATCTATGACTTCAATGAAAGGTTAAGTTACATAACATAATAGTTAAAGAAGACTTCATGGTCAAGTGAGAGTTGAATTGTATTTTGAGAAACAGGCAGAATTTGCGTAGATGGAAGTTAGGGACAGTAATGGGAAAAAGATACACAAGATACAGATGTGAGAACAACATGGTCTTCTCTAGAGATATGCTTAACAACAGCAGAAATTTCATGTCAGTGAGTTGTGGGAAGAAGACTGCATCTGTAGGTTTTTAGAACACAGATATCTTGAAGATGCTTTAGGACTGTGAGTTGGGCATGTGGTCCTGGAATGTCATCAAGTGGAGGGGAGGAAAAATGGAAGATTAAAGGAGTTTTTTAGAACTTGTGGTCATAAATAAACAAGTAATGTTAGCATATGGCTAGTTGTATTTTATGTATTATATATGTTGTGGCAGTAGTAGAAATTTTTCATCATAATTCTTTCATGTTTGTTATTGATTTCAGGAAGGAGCAAATATTAATAAGTCTCTTACAACTCTGGGAAAAGTCATTTCAGCCTTGGCAGAGGTGGTAAGTGTTGTACTTCATTGTAAGGGAAAATTTGTTCAGCAAATGTACTTGATGATATTTTATGATTATTTATGAAGGCTGTCCTTTTTTGGCCCTTTTATGTAATCCTGCCTTTCTCCTTTTAGAAAGCTTTTCAGATAAGATACTAGGTATAACATACTTTGATTTTGTACTGAAAGTAAAATAGATTAAGGAGAATGAAAGTAAATAGAGAGCTGTAAAGGCTAGTAAAAACTAGGTCTTTACAAAGACGTAAGTTTTGACTATTTTTTGAGCCTTATTTCATATCTCTGATAAAAACCTAGTGTATTTATTACATATTCTTTTCCTGTACAATCTTTTCTAAGTAGGCTGCAGTGCCTTTTGGAGCATTTTGAGCAGTTTGCCTTGATGAATGCTGTTGATTTGGGGGCCAATAATATATATATTTTTAAGTAGTTTTATTCTTTCCTGTTTCTTAACAGTAGAACACTAAAGCTGAAACAATTTTTGCGTAAGGGGCTTCATTATTTAGGTTAGAAGCTAAGGAAGCATTAGTCGTTGTGTGCTCTAATTTAGTTTAGTACCTTGTTTGAATCCCTAAAAAGAAGGAAATGCCTTCTTGCTTATTGGTGAGAAGTCATATTCAATTTATGACTTAAAATTTAAACAAAGTAGTTTCTATTTGGAGGCTTATCCTGTGTTCTCCTTCTCTCTTTTATGCTTTCATCTGCAGGATAACTGCACCAGCAAGGTACGGTGGGGTTGGTAGAAATGAACCAGCTGTAGAATCAATTGCGATGATTTTAAATCCCCAGCAGGATGTATTGAGGCCTAAGTAGAAATGGAACCTTCAAAAAACTTTTTGTTATTTGTTTTCTGGCTCTGGAATTTAAAATTGCTGTTTAGGGTGACCATGAATCATGAGACTTCACACCAAAATTAATTTAGGGAACATGATGTGCTTTCGGGAAGGAATTCAGAATAAAGGAACAAGAGAGAAATTTGAGGAAGCTTCTGCATTGTGTTTTCTTACGATGTTTCTCCTAGTGATTTATAGGACTGTCACTTGAAGAAGTCTCCTGTAAACCTCTAGAAAGGGCGACAAAAGAAATTTCTTAAGGGTAGCATTGTAAAACACACCTGGTTTCTTGAAATTATCAGTATATTTTTCTTAAACCTCTTTGTATTATCTTTACTTGTTTCCTACCATGAAAAGTCATGGATTATTTAAATTGTTAAAAAAAAATTTTTCTAATCTTTGGTTTTACATATAGTGAACGCTGCAGAATTAAGTTAAACATCTAATTGTGTCTAGAAAACATATTATTTGCATCCTTTTTAGTCCAAATATAGTAGTTTTTCTTTTCCTTATATTTCTGTACAGATGCTCTAAATTTATTAGTGCTCTTTTGCATAAATAATAGAGCACTCAGCAGTTTATTCTGAATTACATGAGTAACATTGGAGATAGAGGCAGTATCTGCATTGAAATATTTTATACTTACATTTTAAAATATATAGATTTCTTTATTCCCTGCTTCTCAAAAATAATTTAATAAAAAGTAATGCCCTTTTCTGTTTTTCTCTGCTTATTGGAAAAAGCTGCCTTAGATTCAAAAATCTATCTGCTATTTGATGTTATACATGTGTGGATATTCTTCAAATATCTAATCTAGGTCCCAGAACCATGAAGACTATTAAAACTTAGTGATGAGAGTCGGCCTGGTAGTAGTGCAGCAGTTAAGTTCATACCTTCCGCTTTGGCGGCCCCAGGTTCAGCAGTTTGGCTCCCAGATGTGGACCCATGCAGGCTGTGGCAGGTGTCCCACATATAAAGTAAAGGAAGATGGGCATGGATGTTAGCGCAGGACCAGTCTTCCTCAGTAAAAAAAAAAAAAAAGAAAGAAAAAAAGATTGGTGGCAGATGTTAGCTCAGGGCTAATCTTCCTCAAAACAACAACAACAATAGCAACAAAAATGAAAAACTTAGTGATCATTCTAACTTGTCTAGTTCATTTGCTCATCTGTTAACATTCATATCAGCTAAAGGGAAAGTTTACAAAGTATTTATCTGTATACTTCCTACATTGCTCTGTGCCACAATAATTTGCAAATGATATTTTATAATTGCTTTTGTAAAACCCAGTTTAATACTTTGCATCTGTCATAACAATTACAGATCAGAAATAAATTTTAGTTTTTATATGAAAAGCATAATTTTTGGTGAATTAAGATATATTGTTATTTCCACTAGGGAGGGAAACAGGATTGTTATCATCCACACTTAATAGTCTTTTTTTTAGAGAAGTTAACATCTAAGTAAAGCTTTTTATGTAACTACTGAAGCACTTATTTTTAAAAAATTACAGATGTGAGAACAGGTAAGATTAATTTGTGTAAGAGAGCAAATAGAAAAGAAATGGCTAAAATTCTGGGATATTTTCAAGTAGAAAAGATGGAAGTTTTATTTATGCTTCTTCATTTAGATACTCCTTAAATTTACTCTAATTGACAAGAATGAAAATAGAACATTTTTGGCAAACTGACCTTGCTTATTTTCATAGTACTGTTTGCAGTCGTTGTAACTGGCAGCCTAAATCTTGCGGTGTTTTCAGTAAAAACTGTAGGTAATGTGGAGTATTTAGGTGCAGTAGAGAACTGGAAAGAGATGAACTGAGTCTTAGGCCTCAAGAACTTTGTGGTGGAATGAAAGTCCCACTAAGCTGTGAATGACTGAGAAGGTTAGTTCTCCCTAGAGGTCTGTGTAATTTAGAAATGGAACCTGCTATGGGAAATGACTTTCTTTCTTTCTTTTTTTTTTAAAGATTGGCACCTGAGCTAACAACTGTTGCCAATCTTCTTTCTTTTTTTGCTTTTTCTTCCCAAATCCCCCCAGTACATAGTTGTATATTTTAGTTGTGGGTCCTTCTAGTTGTGGCATGTGGGACGCCGCGTCAACATGGCCTGATGAGTGGTGCCATGTCCATGCCCAGGATCTGAACCGTGGAAACCGTTGGCCGCCGAAGCCGAGCGAGTGAACTTAACCGCTTGGCCACAGGGCCGGCCCCAGGAAATGACTTTCTAATTGGTGGAATGTGTGTCTGTGGGTGGAGTGAGATGAGATGGAGGGGACATTTTTGATAAGAGATGGAATTAAAGTGCCACTTGCCTACTTCCTTTCCTCCTCAACAAACCAGGAGTCAGCTACTTAGTACTCCTTTTCTGAATATCCATGCTTTGGAAGAAGTAGATCATCCTTAGATTAATTTAACCTCAGATTATACCAGGAATGGATTCTAAAACTACTGATTGCAGGGGAGATGTTTATCAGTGAACCTTCGCTTTCTCCTTAGTAGCTTCTTGAGTTATCATGACATAGTAGTCAGCCAGCAGATATTGGAGTAGCTATTATCTGCAAAGCATTTGCATTAAGTTTTACTTTCAGAGGATATAATTTCCTCCATTTCAGCACTGGCTTTGCATTGGTGCTTTTTGCTTTATCCTGTGGTAATGAGGATTACAGAGAGCGACAAATAAACTCTTGATATATATAGAAAATTCATCTTTTGCAGTCTTTACAAATCTCCCCATTAGCAAATTACATCACTTTCTTAGACCTTTTCACTTTGAGTCCTAACTAATGGTTGGATTTATTTGGGGCATAATTGCCTTTCAAAGAAACCAAATGTCTATTACTTTACAAGCGTTACTAGATACGCAGCAACCCACTTAATGATTTGAGGGTTGGCCAAATAAATTCATTAACTAAATGACTCGTACCTACATATCCAACCTGGAATGCACCACCTTCATATATTTGCCGCTCTGCAAAAGTAAAAATAATTCTTTGAGAATTGGGTATTAGATGATATTAAGGAATTCTTGATAATTTTAAGTGTGATAATGATCTTGTAGTTATGTTTTTTTAAAAAAAGTCCTTCTCTGTTTGAGATATGTACCTGAAGCATTTATAGGTGAAATGTTGGATTTGCTTTAAAACATTACCAGCTCTAGAAGACATGATATAGACAGGATATTAGATAATAGTATTGTATCAAAGAGAATGTTTTTATTTGCTGTAGTGTTTAGCGGTAAAAGGATATAGTGTCGGCAGTTTACTTCAAAATGATTCAGGAAGAAAAACTGTAGCAAAGTGTTTGAGGGATAATTGAAACCTAATTGGCAAAATATTGATAATGGTTGAAGCTGCATGATGGATATATGTTAGCTTATTATACTACTCTCTAAACTGTTATATATGTTATACCTTCTTCAAAATAAAATATAAAAATAAAAATTTTCTTTATTGCGTGAGTTTTGGTTATTTTGAAGAATTGAAGCTGTGAGTGTTAAATTTCAACAGTGATGGAGTTCTACTGTAATTTAATTTACTTGGGAATTTTAGACCGACTTGCCTTTTATGTGAATTATTCCTCCCTAATAACGCTAAGGCCATTTCTTTCTGTTTAATAGAGTAAGAAGAAGAAGAAAACTGATTTTATTCCCTACAGGGATTCTGTACTTACTTGGCTCCTTCGAGAAAATCTAGGTACGTTAACACTGGTGTGTAGTTATCTTTTTAAAGCTGTTTACTGATTGTCTTTTGTGGTTAATTGTCCTATGTGTCTGTTTTGGAGAAGAAGAATCTCTAGATATCCATGTTACTAGTACTTGAGTGCTTCTTCCTTCTTTTCATTTTTACTCTTGATTTAAGCTGGTTGGATTTGCTTACTTTTAAATCAAGGTTTTCTCCCATATCTGTTGACTTTAGGACATGAACTGTGTCTTCCTGACCACACACCTACTTCAAATTATTTCTCCTTCTTCCTCTTTGAAAACTCCGTGCTCCTTTGAGGAGCAGATGATCAGATATTACCAGCCCTTAGTCTTTTTTGCTGATGTTTTCGGACCTTCCCATCACTGCCTTTCATTCACTGTTCTTTTAGTCCCTTTCCCTCCTTCTCATCAAGAAGGAGGTAGTGATCAACTGTGTCAAATGTTGCTGATAGAAGGAAGAGGCTGAGAATGACTTGTTGGACTGTTTACATCACCAGTGATTTTCACATCACTGAGAGCAGCTTTGATGGAGTGACTGAGTTCTTTTTTTTTTTTTTTTTTAAGATTTTATTTTTCCTTTTGACCCAAAGCCCCCCGGTACATAGTTGTGTATTTTTAGGTTGTGGGTCCTTCTAGTTGTGGCATGTGGGATGCCGGCTCAGCATGGCTTGATGAGCGGTGCCATGTCCCTGCCCAGGATTCAAACTGGTGAAACCTGGGTCGCTGAAGCAGAGCACGCAAACTTAATCCTTCAGCCCCCGGGCCGGCCCCTGGCTGAGTTCTTAATTGGAGTGAGAAGCGAGAAACTGGACGTAGTAAATCCAGACACCAACATTTGAGTGTAACAGCACTTGGCATGGAGACATTCAAGAAATTTGTTGACTTTTTGTTAAATCTTAGGATCTGAGATCGTGCTGATTTGACGTATTCACTAAAATTCTTCTTTCTAAGATGAGTATGATCTGAGATAATCATGATTTATCTTTTTAGGTGGCAATTCTCGGACTGCAATGGTTGCTGCTCTGAGCCCAGCAGATATCAACTATGATGAAACTTTAAGCACTCTGAGGTACTCCAATTTAATCCCAATAGCTAAATAGAACATAGTGCCACCACAAGTAATTTTTTATGACTTGGATGCCATGGATTTTCTTTGGCTGTATCAGTAGTCATTTGTGTAAGTAGTGTTCCATTCCTCTCATAACAATGAGAATGTGAGGAAGAAAGGATTTTTATTATAATACAGTTTACCTCTTTATGGTGTTCAGTTTCGTTGGGAAAGGCAGGAACTTTTTCATAGGAAAGGTATTAAAAATCCCCAAGTGAGGTGTTTGGATAACTTTTAGATATTAGTGAAAGTTTTCTTATAATGCTCATTTCTATAAAAAGAAGTGTTCCCTTGTGGTGTTTGTCATTATAGAAATGCTGAATTCATAAGAAGTAATACAATTATGAGTATATGTAGCATTAAAAAAATTATTGGCAGGCGGTTTTCTAATAGGATATTTCTATATATGAATAGGTTCCATTACTTTAGTCCAGAACTCCATACTCTTCTCCCATTGAAGACACTTTTGATATAATGGAAGGAATGCTATATAGTCTGACAAATTAGTTTTGAGTCCTCTCTGGTATTTATTTCCTTTATGATCTTGGATAAATTACTTAAGTTTATTTGAGCCTTTTTTCCATCCTTTATAAGGTACTGTAAAGCTTTCTGCAAACGTATTAAAGTCTCATAAAATATGTAAATGCTCAAGCAGTTTGTTTTAGAAATAATGGTATGTTACTTATGAAAAGGAGAGCATCTGAGGAATGGCAACAATGAATTTTCTTTTTGGGTCTAGATATGCAGATCGTGCAAAACAAATTAAATGCAATGCTGTTATCAATGAGGACCCCAATGCCAAACTGGTTCGTGAATTAAAGGAGGAGGTGACAAGGCTGAAGGACCTTCTTCGTGCTCAAGGGCTAGGAGATATTATTGATAGTAAGTAAATTAAGGATCAGCACAAAATCTAAACCTTTCCTCTTCAGAGTTCTTACATTTAAACTTAGATTTAAGAAACTTGATTAAGCTAGATGGTAGAAAAAAGGGTTTTTTGTTTTTTATTTTTTCTTCTTAAAAAACCCAATGAAAATGATCTCAGAATTCCTTTATGTAGTATGTACCAGGCTATCCATTTGAACTCATGAAATTAGTTTTTAAAACGTGAATATTCCGCTACTTGTGTTTCTGTTAGATTTCTCTTTTAGATCAGCAATAAAGTTTATTTGGAAGTTAAGCTTATTCTCATTGAGAAATTAATCACTTCATAAATATGTTACATGAAATTTTTGTTTTTCTGTTATGAGTTTCTCTGGATTAATGTAGTAGCAGTAATATATGTATAAGAAACCCACCATTTCAGTCTCCTTTCAGATCAGATATACCTTTCATTGATATCTTTCCCCTCCTGCAAATTGATTAAATGTTCCCCACCCCACTCCCTATGAATATATGAAGGGGAAGATCTCTACTTCCTTATCAAGTTCAAGAATTAGACTTCCAGAGAGTATTGTTTTACAGTCTTATCTCAAAATGAGTATTTTTTTAACCTTAGTGATCTGCCTATGTAATGTCTAATCAGAAGTTCTGTTAAGTGAGTTAACTAGATTATTCAGGTAGAATAGTACGTGGGTTTATTTTAAAAGCATATTTTTGTTTTTTGAGTGTAAAATTGATGTATTGTTTGGAATTCTAATAAGATTTTCAAGGCTTCTTTTAGTTTAGTTCTTCTTACTGGTGGGCATCTAAATTTAGATGAATACAGTTTGTAAAATGATACTATATTCTAAGTTTATTTTTTCATTTTCCCAAATGCCAAATACTGTTCTCTTCCCTCTCTGTGTCACTACTGAACCTGAACTTTGATCCTTCTTGTATTTTCCCTCCTGCTTACCTTCAGTTGATCCATTGATCGATGATTACTCTGGAAGTGGAGGCAAATGTGTGTATTTCATGTATTGGTTATTCCAAGTACTCTGACTTGCTAATCTGCCTCTGCTGGATCAGCCTTAAAATGAGCTTTGCATGCCAGCAATCCTAACAGGGAAATCCCAGACAGAGCGTACTGTAGATTCAGAAATGATCCTGTTTTTGCCCTTCTTCATTTAGCAAAGCAGTCTTCACTGAATTTCAGTCTGTGGCTTGAATTAAATCAAGAGGCTTAAGAGTCTCTTGTTTCTGCTTTTCAGTTTTTCCAGTTATGTGATTAAACTGAATACAAAATCTTAGATGGTGATAGTGATGTCAGCAGCTCATATTTACTGTGTTTATAATGTGCTAAGCTCTGTTCTAGGTACCTTAAATATATTATCCCATTAATCCTGTTAATGACTGAAAAAGTTTCATTATGCCTATTTTACCAGTGAGGACACTGCTGCTTGGAGTGGTTAGTTTGCTGCTGAGCTCCCGTGGTTTTTATGTGTTCAGATTGGGTAGTGTAACTCAGAGCACTAGCTTTTAATCATTATTACACCTTTTTTGGCCTCTTGAGATCCTTCAGGATGTCAATATTTAATAGAAAAATCCTTTTTAACTAGTTATGTAATTCTGAGCTTTAGTGTATATATAATTAAAAACAATCACGTCCAGTTGGCCAAACTCGCCATGATTGAGTAGCTCTGCATGTTGGGTTAGCACTCACCTGTGGTTATGCTAAGTTAGTTTCCTCCATATCTTGGGCCTCAGCTTACTTGATGGTTAGGTTAACACTTTTTTTTCTTCTTCATGAATTACAAATTAAATTTTAAAAACTTGAATGTCTAGAATTTGTGCTTGAAATGAGGACATTCTTTAGAGGATCACACCTCATTGTTTTCTCTGTATAGAACATTAAGATGTGAGGAAATAATTTCTTACCTTTTAAGATAATTCATCAAGGAATTGTTATCTTAGAAGAAATGAAGAATCTTGATATTTTTAGGGGGGTAACTTTTAGATTTTTTTTTCTTTTTATTCAGTTCATAGTTTACATTGATGTGAGATTTCAGTTGTACATAATTTCTAAGTTTTAAATTTTTATTGGTTTGTTTATTTAGGAGGCTTGATAGACAGGAAATGCATAGGAGGAACTACATGTAGCCCTGGCCTCTGTGATGAGGTTAGGCCTTGAAGACGCTATAATGTTCCAACACAGAGTGACTCTTGGACTGGAACAGCTCTGTCTGAGATTTCCAAAGCTGACCAATACTGGTGTGGAAAAGACACCGTCTTGTTCTTGCTTTTGTGCTCCAGGTGGTGTTGCTGCCAGCTTGTTGTCCTGCTCTTTTCTGAGCAGTTGTGGAATCTCCTGAAAAGCTCTGCATGACTAAGTTTTAATTCTGCATCCGTGCAGGAAAGCAGCCCTGACTACTTCTGAATTTCTGTTTTATCTACTACTCTTAATTCTTTTTAGGGCTTGCATGTGTCCCATTGGACCTTCTAAGCTCCGTCCATTCTACTCTTTCTTACCTTGCTGCCATCACCTGATGGCCAATTTTTTGCTCCAGTTTCTGTCGTCCTTTTAAAACTTGCTTGTTTTCCTCTGTTCTATATTTGCAGATGGTGGTTTTCAAACTGTCTTGAAGCAACCACTGGTTTTTAAGGGGCTTCAAGAACTGACTTTGATTAAGTAGAGATGAGTAGACCCAGAGAGAGCTAATAATATTTTTTCTGACTCTTTGTGTTGACTCGCATTGTATCCTTTAAGGAAAAGTTACTTAGTTTTGATATGAATTTTAAGCAAGGTAGATTTTCTCAAATTTAAAATGAACTAATTTTAAAATAGGAATGCACCGATACCTATGGTGATCCTTTGGTGTTTGTTTGAGGAGGACTAAGGAAGGAAAGTACAAATAGTGAATTAATGAATTTTGTTTTTTGTGGCTCTTTATACCAAAACTAGGTTTAAAAGCAAAATTTACAGTTCTATTAAAGACCTTAGTAATGGAAGTATGTCCCTAAAACTTGAATTTCATACTAGGAACTTGGCTTACCAATGACTCATGGTCATACTGTTAGGCAAAGCAAGAGCCTTACTTAAATTAGCAAGTAATCAGCCTTAATTTTTGCTTGCTCTAATAATTGAATGTAAACTACACCAAATTCGTTAATTTGCTGACTCTTCTTGCCTTTTGAGGCAATCAGTCGGCCCTGAGTTCTTAACCAGGACTTACACAAAATTCCTGTCATTTCTACACTTACCTCTCCTTTTTTAAAAGGCATATTTAAAAATATTTGATTAGCATGTTGAAATGTTGCTATACGAAGGACACCACTACTAAGTGCTCAGATTTTTGTTCCAACTATAGAATTTTCTTGGGAATTTTTGCTTGGGAATTTGGGAATGCCATAAAACACTGGGCTAGGCTGATATATATTATTATTGATAAATAAATGATCATCTTTTTCCCTTAACTGTTAGAAACTACTGGGATTTAAGAGTTGTGTAAAACTAAGAAATTGTAGATTTGGAGCCACAGAAGGAACAATAGCATGGCTGTTTAGGGAGACTGCCTAAGGAGTAACCTTTCAGGTTCTGGTTACCCTCCACCAGATACAACATTAGCCCACACTGGAACTGTTTAGTTTCTAAATTCAGAAGTGGTTCTTAACCTCTAGATACCAGTATTAAAGACAGACATGTTTTAGAACTGCCATCTAGAACAATTATAATTTGCCTTTGTATTATAACGTGTCTTTGTCTTGGCGCTTTAATACTGTCCTTTCTTACACTGGTGTTCCTTCCTGTCTTTTTTCTTCCTCTGCTCCTTTCCCTCCTTTCCACTTTTTCTGCTTTCCCTTCTTTCTGTCTCCCAGATCTGAAAGATTTTCAGAACAATAAGCATAGGTACTTGCTAGCCTCTGAGAATCAACGCCCTGGCAATTTTTCCACAGCATCCATGGGGTCCCTTACTTCATCTCCATCTTCCTGCTCACTCAATAGTCAAGTGGGCTTAACATCTGTGACCAGTATTCAGGAGAGGATCATGTCTACACCTGGAGGAGAGGAAGCCATCGAACGTCTAAAGGTAACTAAAACTTCAGACTGAATGAGAAGTATTCTGTGTAGCTCCACAAGGCAGAATTAGGACTGATAATTACTGAGAATTTGATTCAGCACATAGAAGAACTTTCTCTTACAGGTGTCCTGAAAGTGCAGTTTGCTGCTTTCTAAGATAATTAATTTCTTTTCACCAGAATGCTTGAGTCTGATATGGCCAGGCAGAGATGGGAGAAATGCATGGGCAGATCATAGGTTGGCCATGTAAAGTAACTGATAAGTAGGTACTTTAATTCTGAGTTAGTTTATAAGTCACAGTGAAATTGTTTCACTAGAAATTTAGTTGGAAACTGATTAATTCGTTGGAAACACCTGGTTTCATTTGAAGACGAAATTTACATAGAGCCATGCTTCTGTTAGTAAAATAAATATACAATCAAAAGAAAGTTTGAACTTTCTGTATCAGAGAAAGAGCAGCTGTAACAGATTTATTCAGAGACACGTGAAATGATACCTTCTGGAAGTTCATAGAAAGCCTTGCAACCCTGTGATCGCTGCTGTGGAAGAGCTCCCTCTTCCTGCGCTGGTGCACTTGGTGTCATGGGCCTTAGTGCTGTGTGCTTGAGTCTTAGATGTGCAGGTCACCTGCCATGGTGCCCAGGTTTGCTTTTCCAGCCTGTTGCTGGCTCTGTCAGGTACTTTTTTGTCTCTCTCAGTGAGCATAAAAGTTAGGAACAGCAAAGCCCTCTGACTCAGAGGTTCTTCCTCTCCCCTCAGTGACTACAGTGAGAGCAGACACTTGTCACCTGGGGTGCTATCCATCAAATCACTGTGACAGCAGCACAGATGCTTTTTTTTTTCCTGCTTGTCACCTTGATCCATACGTTTTGGCCTTTGTTTTCAGGAGTGCCAGGGTAGGAAAAGCGAGGAGGGCAGAGAGACTTTTTGAGGAGCTGGGAAGTTGGGAGGAGTCTGTAGCTGACAGTCCTCTTCATGTTGCAGTCAGTGTTCTGCATGGTGCTGCTCGTGCAAGGACCGGTGACAACAGTGACCAACTGAACAGTTAAGGACTGAAAGGTTTGCTGAGCCTTTCACCACTAAAAGGGGATTAGCTTGATAATTGAAGAAGGCAGATACTTTCTTTTTGGTTTTCAAATGAGGCTGAAAAAGATTTTATGTGAAAAATGGGCTTCTGCTTCGTAATCAGCCTACCTTTTCCCTTGGCATTTTACTCACTTCTAAAATAAGGTGCTTTGGAAACTAAAGTAATGATCTTGTGTCTTCCTTCAGAACATGTTAATAGAAAGCGGGTGAAGTTTTGAATACCTGGCAAGGGTTGAGAGGGAGAGTGAGAAATCTTTTCATTAAATGTTGCAAATTGAAGGGTGATTTCTGCTGTTGTAAAATTGACATTGAAATGTTAATAAAGACATTAGTGAAGCCCTCTGAAGGAAGGCTTTGTTCATGTATTTTATTACAATAGGCATCAGTGACCAAGTTGCTGTGCAGGATTCTATTCAGGTCAGTGGGGGAAATGTAGGGGTTCTGTGGTAAGGGAAAGTGAAATCTCTCACTTACTATTTAATGTAAAATGTTCTTTTTCTTTGGGGATTTTGAATCTTATTTGCTTATTAAAGTCTTAGTGTAAAAATTAGATTACGTTTTCCTTTAATGTACATCGTGGTGTAAAAGAAAAAAATTATCAATTGCCAAGTGGGACTAACTGCAAATAACGTTGAATGTTAGGAGTCAAGACATTAACCAGATCTCGAAGAATTAGGTCGCTCAGTGTCTTCCAAATAGTTTCTAGGGAATAACACTGCCATTATTCAGGGATCCCTCCTCCCAAACTCCCTACTTCCCACCCAAAACAAAATAAAACTACGTTACTTTCATCAGAAAATAAATTTCTCTGTTTTAATTCTCCTTTTAGCCAATAAGTGAAACCTTCCATTTTCCCTGTTTTAGAAAATAGCTTCTTTATGGTTTTGCAGTCAATCTTGAGTTTTTAATGCAGCGTGGTAGGTCACCAAAGCATAAGCGTCTTAGTTCTGCTCTATTTTGTGAATGGTGAGAATTCCATTCTAGCAGACCTGCATTTTAATGCTGCAGGCAGATAACATCATACATCCACAGTGCAAGGCAGTGGTTGTAGGATAGAAATGCTTCAGAATTTCTCATTTTTGGACTATTTCATTGCTGAGTGTGAAGGAGCTCTGTTCCTAAGACAAGCCATTGCTAGAGAAAAATACTGTAATGGACGACAGTAATAGAGGAGGTTGATTCATTTTTCTAATTTTTTGTTTCCCTTTGCTTCTCTTTATTTTTGACTTTAAAGAAATTATCAGTTGGTAGAATACTTTTACACAGGGTGTTGCTACTGCTTTGTTCATTGAATAGCCTATTTTCATATGGAAGAGACCCATGTTTACCCCACCATAAATATCTTGAGCCCTCCGTAAACCTCTCCAGCAAGAGAGTGAAATGTAATTGCTTTCAGTTTTTAGTCACAACTCAAACTGTGTTGAACTGTATGTATCCTTGATATGGATTCCTATTCAGTAAGGTTTTAAATATGTAGCTACAGCTACTGTGTGGTAGCTCTGGTGTTTGTTTATTAGTCTGGCATCAGAGTCAGTACCATGAGTACCATTGCTTAGGCTTAGACTATAAATATCCACTACAGAAGCATGCAAGGGCAAATGCTGTGCTAGGCAGCCTGAGGGCCCCACACTTGGAAGTCACTTATGAAACATGCTGTGTTCAGTACAGTAAAACCTTGGCTATCTGATAGGTTCAAGGAATGTTCCATGTAGTAAGCCTTTAAACTTTTAAATATCACAATTTAAACTGTAATTTTTTTCATGGAAATATTTCTGTCTTGTTCTGTGCCTTTTTCTGCTATCTTAACTGAGTCATGATGAAAAGATTAAATTGTGTTTGGCCATATGAACATAATTATTAACCAGTGCTCTACAAATAGCTAGACGTATATGATATGAGACCAAAATTGAATGATACCTCAGCCCAACATTCCTTGAAGCTTCAAATAAAGTTACTGATGTCACTGTGTTTTTTGGAATTCTTTTATATGTAGTACCTCTAGGAAGGAAGGACCCTTAAAGATTATCTTGACTCCTCGTTTCTGAAGTGTGAATCCCAATTTCAATTTAATCTTAGATTAGGCCTCTAGAATGGGTTATAGGCAGCTCTGGACACCAGTGTGCCAGGCCTGCCTGCAGAGTGAGTTGGTGACTCAGAGACTGAAAGCTATCTTCATATTGGCATTTTTATTTTGTTTATACTAAGTTTGTTATTCATATTTGAAGAAAGAGTATCCTTCACTTTTTCTTAATTTATGGTGAGCTGTTTTGTTCAATATTTTCTTGAAAGACTATCAATTCTGCCTTACTTGAAGAAAAAAACGCTAAGAGTCAGGAAACCCAATTCTAGACCTGGCTCAGGGAGTGGTGTGGCCTTGGGTTAATCACTTAGCTTCTCTGGTCTTCAGTTTCTTTATCTCTGGGTTCGGGAATAAATGGCTTTTTCCAACACTGAAATTTTGTTATGACACTCAATATCATTTTCTCTAACCTTTCTTCAGAGTTTTTAAAAATAGCTTAAAGACAACATAAAAATTGCACCTTGAAGCTATAATGAAAAATAAAAATAGTACCTTACTAGCTTAATAAATCTCTTTTCTACAAAGAGATCTTGTTCTGATTTATCTTCCAGGTAGTAAATAAAATTAGAGAGGACACATTAGAGCTGACAGCAAAATGGTAAGAAGATTCCTAGACAGTAACTTTTCTTCCTTGGGCTGAGTTTACAGTTGCTACAAAATAGGATAGCTTTAACACAGCCAGATAAACCTTTGTTCTGACATGATGTTTTTCTGAAGATTAACCAGGGGAAAAAAATATTTTAAGTATCTTGTGGGTCAATTTGTATTCCATAATCAATATCACTGGCTTATGGGCTACACTCTGTATAATGAGCACCAGTCTAGGTGTTCTGGTTTGGTCAGGGGCGTCCTGTTGTTTCCTTCCTTTGTTTTTGAAGTTGTTACTTTGAGATTGTAAAGGTTTCTACCCAGCTGTCTTTAATAAGCCTTAGTATCATATAGGTTATGGTGTCATAACCTATGGTGTACTTGTCCTTTTACTGTCGTTTGCAGAAGCATTTAATGCTACTCTGTTAGAGTTGGTGAATAGCCTTTGTGGTGCTTTATAAATAACACTATTGATCACTTGGTACCTGGTACATTTCCTTTCCTGGCTGTCTCACTCTTTGCTGGAGTTGTATGGGTTTTTCTTGGTGCTGGCCCTCTAGCATGGTGTGTTGTTTCCTTACGTAGCTTTGGGGTGGCACATGCACCTCATGTTAATCATTACTATTGGAGGCCTGTGTAAAAATGCCATTCAGGTGGCTATTTTAGTCTTTCAGCCTGTGTGTGTGTTTGGAGGGTTAATGAGAGCCAAGTTAGCTGGTTTTTATCTCTTTTCCCTCCACCCTCCTCACCCCTGCTGCAGACTTGTTCTACCTTCTCCCAGTTTGTAACCACGTCTTTTCTTTTCTGAAAGAGTACCTCCTATGTGGCCCCCTTTATATTGACTTTACTGATGCCCATGCTATTTCTAACTTTTATCAGTTTTGCTCTTTGCCTAGCTTAGCTAGTTGTTGTTCTTTCTTCTTTATCATCCTCCTTCTCATCATCATTGTACTCTCCTGTTTGTTTCTCCTGACTCCCGTACTCCTTTGCTTTTGCAGCTGCTGCCTTGAGTCTTTACTTTTAGGTTTTTTATATGCTCCCGTGTCTCGTTCTGAAAACCAAATACCAGCAGACGTCTACCTTAGGGTTTTATTGTATTACATGTTCCCAGTTGCTTTCTATGTAGACAGTGATGTTTTGGGATCCCAGAGGCGTCTTATAATAGCCTGTTAAATGATAAGAGTTTTCATCCTCAGTCACTACCACTACTATCATCACTTTTACTGTCTCACCATCATCATTATCTGACTTTCTAATTTTGTCTCCCTGGCTAGCATTTTCCCCTGCTTTTTGCATATGTTCATCCGTCTTTTTGGTACTCCTCCTCCCTCCATTTTTCACCTGGTCAGTTCCTCCTTGTCCTTCGTTCATTAGTATCACTCAGCACTGATTCACCCCCCCCAACGACCTGTGAATACTTCAGTTTTAGCACTTGGCACACTGTTCTGTTGTTTTCCCCTACCATACCTGCTCACAATCTTCAAATATTCTGCTGTAGCCACACTCTTTTTCCTGGAAAACTCCAGGCATTTCCCACCTATTCCCTCACATACCCGTGTGGCAGCTCCTGCGTTTCCTTGTCTCTGCTCACATAGAAGCTTGTCAGTGAGCTCTGTCCTGACAACCCTGCTCCAAATTGCTCCCTCCCCTCCCTTTCCCCCACCGTTCTTTCTCTCCCTGGCTTTATTTTTCTCCAAAGCGCTTATTGCTGTCTGACATACTGTATACTTGACTTACTGATTAAAATTGATTGGTTGTCTCAGTCTCTTTACTAGAATGTAAGTCTCTTGAAGGTAGGAATTTTGATCCCTGCTGTATCTCTAGTTGCCTAGAACAGGGCTTGGCATATAATGGGGTTATATATAATTATTGAATGGATGAATCGTCAATTACTTTTCTCTCTGCCTAGTACACAGTAAGCTCCTTGAGAGCAGGAAACATGTTTTAGTTCTTATATTTCTGGCATACAGTAAACACTCAGCAAGAGACTAGGAAATGGTTACTTCAGTAGGTATATTCCTTCCAATGAGGTTAGTACTAAACCTTTCTATATTGCATGTTGGGATGTGTTCAGGAGGGCATTGTGTCGTAGGAGAGGAAAGATATCTTTCCTTCTACCCTTCTAGGTTCTTGGCTGGGGCCCCTGTAACAAAAGGCAGATTAATAAAAGAAAAGCATACAAATTTATTTAAAAAAAATTTTAAGTGGCATAGGAGCCTTCATAAGGAAACGAAGACTCAAAGAAGTGTTAAGCCTGAGCATTTTTATGCTAAATTTGATGAAGAGTGAAAAGTCATAGGAAAGTGTGATAGGACAAAGGAGTATGAGCTAAGAGTAGTAAACTGGGGGAGACCTAGTGAGGCCTGTTTGTTCAGATTCCTCTTGACAATTGTCCCTTTTCCCTTGTCGGAGATAAGGATGCTCCTTTCCTCCAGGTATAGGGCCTAGGGCACCTCTCATGGGGGTCTTATGACCTGCTTCAGGAGGAGATCAGAGAGCCCTTCCTGCACCTGCCATTTCTCAGTTTACTTCGGCTTGAAATATTCAGTATGCCTTATTTTGGGAGAGCATGTTCTGAACCCCATCAGTGAAATAATAGTGAAACAATGCAAGGAATACCTTTAGGGACTATTCTTTTGTGGAAGTGGCTGTCAGAAATAGTGCATTGCATTTTGGGATATTAATTTTATCCATCATTCTACACACACACATTCTCTCTCTCTCTTATTATTAAGTTATTTTTATTAGGAATTAAGAGAATTGATATATCTGGACTGATTTACTGGTAGGCTTAGTCTTTATGATTTTTACTTTACATATTAAGAAAAGAAGAGTGTCATCATATTAGATTCTGCCTCATATCCTCAAAGGGCATCATCTGCTTCTTGCTATCCTTCCTAGAAATGGTATGTTAAATTATAAGACTCTTGTAACTTTAACTGTGGACTTCCTCCCTTAGGAATCCGAGAAGATCATTGCTGAGTTGAATGAAACCTGGGAAGAGAAGTTGCGTAAAACAGAGGCTATCAGAATGGAGAGGTCAGGAGGTTAAACTCTGGGGATGTTTCTAAATTTTCTAGGAAATTTGGATTTGTTTTTAGTAAGAAAAGATAAAATAGAAGTTAAAAACAAAGAACCTTTCCTCCCAAAACACAAAACAAAAAATAAATCCAGTTAGGGACTTATGGCCAGTTGAATTTACACTTTGAAGTGAAATTTCAATATTTAAATGTTCCCTAGGGAGTTGTGTGCTTAAATAGTTATCATACTACATATTTCTAGGGATCCATATAAAAATGGAAGATACTGAACAGTTTAGAGTTTTTAATTTGCAAAAGGACTGCCTTTGATAAAGACCAAATAAAAAAAGCTGTTCTAACTATTGTCTCTCAGAGTTTTCTCTTCCAGAACCTCTTTGATAAGAGGTGAAGTAGTTTGAGTTACAAGCTTTAAAATCCCTATTCTGTCTTAACCTTGTAGTTCTCTACCTTGAAGGTGAATATAACCCGAAATAATACTTCTGCTATTTGAATAAATATACATTTAAGAATGTCACTTCCTGGGGGCCAGCCCGGTGGGGTCTTGTTTAAGTTTGTGCTCTCTGCTTCAGTGACCCAGAGTTCTCAGGTTTGGATCCTAGGTTCAGATCTACACACTGCTCATTAAATCATGCCGTGGCAGCATCCCACATACCAAATAGAGGAAGACTGGCAACAGATGTTAGCTCAGGGCCAATCTTCCTCAACAACAACAACAACAACAACAACAAATTCAGTTTCCCAGAATATAAGGCAGAAGTGAGTTCTAATATACTGATACAGTAAATGTATTACTTAGAATTTTCTTATTTAGTATATAGAGATGTTAGAATTGCTGAATCAATATGATAGTAGACATGGGAATGTAACATTTGAGAAAATCACATTTATAGATAATACTCCATATATCAGAGTTACTTTCTGATTGCCGCCTTAGATTTTGAAGAAATTATTCCTTGAGTTGGATGTATAGTCTTAAGGAATACTCCTTTCTTCCTTTTTATATATTAGCAGACATATTATTTATGAATTATTGTCTGCCTCTGAAGTGAGATGAGACAAAGTTCATATTTGGGTGAATATAACTTTACCTAACATAGGAGCATAATTTATTTTGAATGTATTGTTTCTCTTAAAAGCAATTTTTCCTTAAGGATGGGATAAGCAGATTCATTTATATTCATATTACTGACTTTAAACATGGGCAGTTGTTTTTGCTTTGCATGCTTTATTTTCCAGTTTATATTAGACTGATTTGACATTTTGGTATTGGTATTCTGATAGGCTTGTTGTTTTTTCTAGAGAGGCCTTGTTGGCTGAGATGGGAGTCGCCATTCGGGAAGATGGAGGAACGCTGGGGGTTTTTTCACCTAAAAAGGTAGGAAAGAATGTTGTGAAACTCAACCAAACAGAAACACTCTTTTTTTTTTTAAGGAAGATTAGCCCTGAGCTAACATCTGCTGCCAATCCTCCTCTTTTTGCTGAGGAAAACTGGCCCTGAGCTAACATCTGTGCCCATCTTCCTCCACTTTATATGTGGGACACCTACCACCTCATGGCTTGCCAAGCGGTGCCATGTCTGCACCCGGGATCCCAACTGATGAACCCCGGCCGCTGAAGCGGAACCTGCACACTTAACCACTGCACCACCAGGCAGGCCCACAGAAACACTTTTTGTTTCATCTTAGTTACTGAGGTGCTTCATGTCTCTCAGGATTGGCCCCTCCTCTTCCCTTTTTTTTTATCTTGAGACTTGGCTTAATTTCGGATATTTCTGACTTCATCTTATAGTACAAGGGGAGCCTATTTCCAAAATACCTGTCATGTTTATTGTTTACAAGATAAAACCCAAGGCAGTAAATCTGTATCTTTTTGTCATATTGAGTACCTTTAATCATCTTCATTGTTGCTTTCTCTTAAATTCCCACCCTAACCTAGCATACCTTGCTTCAGTTTGGCTGCTCTTTCTGTGTAGATTTTCCCACAGATGCCAGCAACCCTGATTTGTAACTCTTTGGAAGCAATTTCAACTGTTCAGGTTTGTGTAGAAAAATACTGCTTCAGTTTGCTTCTACAATTTGTGTTGTAGACCACCACTGAGTAAGGCAGTTCCTGTCTTCATCCTTCTAGCCTGCTCCCGTCTCAGTTTAAAAAAAAAAAATGACTCCAGTAGTTACCTTCCTACTTACCTAGTTGTAGTTGTTCAGTAGTAGATACCTTTTAGCTAATTAGAATAGTAAGGTGTTTTTTTGTTTTTTTAACCAAGCTGCTCCTTAGTTATTGTTAGATGTTGGAAAACTATTATCCAATGATTATTTTGTGTACACTTATTTATGTGACAATAATAGAACACATGTATTTACATAGATGTACAAAATAAATATTTTATGCCAGTGATAAATGGTTCTTCATTTTAAATGATCTCAAATTGGCTGTTGGAGACTTAACACATCTTCCTGCAAGAGTGTGGTGATGGTCTCTCTCAGTCAGCATAGAATGAGTAGGGAGTTTTCATTGGTAATTTTGTTTTATGTGACATGAAATATTCCTGTGATTTTTGCTAGAATTCTTTTGGTTAGGTTTTTCTATCAAGGTCACGTAACTTTTTAAATAAATTCCGATGTGTTATTTTTAACAAAGAAGATTGATTTTTAAAGACATTTTAGTACGTATTGTAGAACTGGAATGATAACAGGAGTCTTTTATATGTTTATATTGCCAAAGATCAGTAATTTTCACAGCTTGATAGTTTTTCCTTCAGTAAGACATTATTTATACAGCTATATTACTTATAATTATAGAAATTTTAGCAGCTATAGGTTTGATAGAATTTAGATTGTGACTTTGCATATATCTAATGGTATTTTATAACATAACCTTTCAGTGTTAAGAACTGGGGAAAATTTTTATGTAGCAACTTATAAAAATATGGCATTTAACACAAATCGTAAATAACTTAAATAAGTGTTGTGGTATAGACAGCCAGAATTCCAAACTGAGGTCTCTGTTTCCATGGCTTTTTCTTACTTTAATTTACCCATCTTGCTTTAACTTTCTAGACTTCCTCGGGGAAGGAGGGGATGCACCACTGACCACATCCGAATTCAGTTTTAGGGCTTGTTTCTGATGTGTTACCTCGATTGTGGTAATCATTGCACAATGTGTACATATTAAATTGACACATTGTACACCTTAAAAAAATCATTTTGTACAACTTAAATATATACAATTTTTATTTGTCAATCATACTTCAATAAAACTAAGGGGGAGATACTTTTAAGGGAAGAAAGAAAAAAAAGAACCTATTTCTGAGATTAGTTTTTTATTAGGCCAGTGTCACGATGGGTTTTAAGGAATGCTGCCCACGCAGATCTTTGACTCTTTGAAACCAGCAAAGCTGTTAAACTAGAGGCAGATGCTAGTTGAGAGGATAGAGAGGTTTTTCTAATTTCTTTTTAATCATCTTTTGCAGTCTCTTTTCTTAACCCTCTCATCTGACTGTTGTTTCATTTTTCCACATTTGCTGGCACTGTCTTGAGTAGATTTTGACCCCAAGACCATGTGACTTATTTTTGGATTCCAGTGGGGTATTTTCACCAAAGAAGGTTGGTTATTAAAAGATTTTAGAAATATTAGATGAAGAGGACTTTTACAAGATGTGTGTATTATTGAATGTCAGTAATTTAAATTTCTTCTTTAAGGTAAAGACTAATAAACTAAAGACAATAACTGAGACCATGGAAGAAGTGATAAAAATTAGAGAGGGAAATGACAGGGAGTGTATGGACATTTTTATGAAGTAAATGAAAAATTAAATATTTCTTGAGATTGTAGGGGTAGAAAAATAATTTCCCCTCTAACCTGAGTTCTTGGCTGAGACCCCTGTAATAAAAGACAGATTAACAGGAGAAAAACAAAGAGAAGTTTAACATCTATACCTCACGTTTACATGGGAGAGACCCAGGGAAAAATGAGTAACTCCCTCAGGTGGCTTAGAATTCTGGCTTAAATATCTTAATGGGGAAAGGGGAGGGAGGAGATAGGCCTCTCGAGGGAGAGTAAATGATCCCTAAAAATCATTTGAATGGGCCTTTAGAAGAGTAAGTGGGAGGATTGATAGTTGTGACAACATTTGTAGGGGTGTGAAGTCGACTTTTGGTTTCCTCTCATGGGATAGTCATCCATCTTCCCTGGTTGATGAAACTCCTGGAGGAGATCTACAACAGTTTCACTCCTTTTGGACATCTGTCTTTAGGCAGATGAGGGGAGTTCAGAGAAAGCCTCTCCCTGCATGTGTTGCTTTTCAAGTGCCTTCAGCTCAAAATAATCAGTGTCAAAGTGGCATATTTTGGAGTGGCATATTCTGCTGCTCCTCACGATTTTGTCCAAATGTTTACAAAAATTATGATTAACTCACCCAAAGAATCATCCTGTCCTAATTTTTCTTTTGTGTTCTCCATGCTTTGACCTTATCAGGAGTTGGATCTCGCTCTTTATCCCAGAACTTATGTTTTTAAATGGAGTGCATTGGTGCAGTTTGGGGAGGTCTGTGGAGAGTGTTTTCTGTTTGTTATGAACTTGCAACTAGGAATCAAAGAAGTCCCTCTTCTAGGCACTGTGGGTAATCTAAGAAGCCGTCAGCCTCCTGTAGGTCCCTGTTACTGTCACAGCCCTCTCAGTGGTGCTGGCTCATAATTGATAATCTGTAACCTTTTTCAGACCCCACATCTTGTTAACCTCAATGAGGACCCACTTATGTCCGAGTGCCTGCTTTATTACATCAAAGATGGAATTACAAGGTATGTTTGTTTCTTCTTTGGTCACTTAACGTTTTCTTTTCTCTTGGATGATTGAATAACTAAGGGGAAATTGTCTTTTGAAAAAATTTGTCGTAATAATTTGCTGTTTTTCCTGTCTGAAATAGTTACAAACTGTTCTCCCTACTCTGCCCAAATTATGTGTTTTAGCCTGCTGAACCAGTTAACATGTAGTTTGTCTCTAAAAGATCCTATGTAAATTTTTTCCTTCTAACATGTTATATGAATTCGTTAGAGAGATTAGTTAACTCGTGTATTTTTATAATGCTGTGTGAGTTACATTGGTGTATCATTGCTCCTTGGTTTCTTATTCTGATGTAGGGAGGTTGATCATATATGAAAACGGAATTCGCATTTGAAAGCCTTTGTAAAAAAAAAAAGGCGATACCTTTTGTACATACCAAAGAATATTCTTTGGGAGAAAGAGGTTCATTGTTTGTAGTGCTTTTTGTGTCTGAATTTCCCTGGGAAACGCTTTCCCTTGTGTTCAGGGTTGGCCAAGCAGATGCTGAGCGGCGCCAGGACATCGTGCTGAGTGGGGCTCACATTAAAGAAGAGCATTGTATCTTTCGGAGTGAGAGAAACAACAGTGGCGACGGTGAGAGTTCTTGGCTTAGCTTTTCCAATAATCTTTTTATTCTATATTATGAGAAATCCCCAGACTTGGTATTCCCTGTCTCTTTCAGTGATACTTTCTTGTACAATCTAATATTTGAAAATGCAGAATTTCTTGGGCTGCTTATAAATGCAGGGACAGACATAGCTACTTTACATGAAAATAGCCTGGGCAAAAGAGGTCTTTTTGTTACTGCCAAGAACGGAGCAGGACATAGGCAGTTAGGCTTGGTCTTGAATGTTAATTATTTAATAGACAAGTAAAAAGGGAACAAGTATCCTGGCTAGTGAAAGATTTGAAGGACCTCTAGTCTTAACCCAGTAGAATTTATTTTTATCTAAAAGGGAAGGAAAAGTCAATCTTGATTTTTTGCCCAGGTTATTAACAATGACAAACTAATGGTATTTTTGTGTTATATAATTCATTCCTTCCTTAATCAAAATATTAGCCTTTGAGCTTAAGTTTCTGCTTGTTACCTACATGTTGTACTTAAATTTTCTGATGGTTTTCAGTTTTATAGCCTGAACTGTCAGATATCACCTAAACTAACATTTCCTGTCTTCTTCTGAGGTTTGTCAAATTCATTTAAATGTTTCTGTCTTAACCACAGCCTTAAATAGCCTCTTATATTGGAGTGGGTACTGGTACCCTAAAATGAATTATTATATAGATGCTCAGCCATTTGGTTGGTTGCAGGAATGTGTTCTAGTTGCCCTGAATCCTCATAGTCATCTGCTTTCTGTTATTTCACTCCACTGGTTTGTGATGCTAATATTAGTTTGCATTCCTCTTAGTTATCGTGACCCTAGAGCCTTGTGAACGCTCAGAAACCTACGTAAATGGCAAGAGAGTGGCCCAGCCTGTTCAGCTACGCTCAGGTGAGACTGAGAGAGGTTTGAAATCTTCAGCAAAGAACACTTGGCTTGTGTGAGCAGCTCTTTGATTTTTAACTCCTTGTTTAAAGGCTAAAGTGATAATCAGCATTAGGATTTATGTTCTTGTAAAACTCCAGAAGCTGTCTTTTTGCATTAGGGAAAGTGAGGTTGCTAACCTAGATACTATACATTTAAAAAATGGTTTCTTAACCCTGTTTCTTTTCTTTTTGTTTTTTTTCCTGCTTTTTCTCCCCAAGTCCCCCCGGTACATAGTTGTATATTGTAGTTGTGGGTCCTTCTAGTTGTGGCATGTGGGACACTGCCTCAGCATGGCCTGATGAGTGGTGCCGTGTCCACGCCCAGGATCCAAACCTGTGAAACCCTGGGCCGCCTAACTGGAGCACGCCAACTTCGCCACTCGGCCCCAGGGCTGGCCCCTTAACCTTGTTTCTGTTTTATGCTAGGAAACCGTATCATCATGGGTAAAAACCATGTGTTTCGTTTTAACCATCCGGAGCAAGCACGGGCTGAGCGGGAGAAGACTCCTTCCGCTGAGACCCCCTCTGAGCCTGTGGACTGGACATTTGCCCAGAGAGAGCTTCTGGAAAAACAAGGAATTGATATGAAACAAGAGATGGAGAAAAGGTAATGTAAAAATATGATGTGAGCCACATGACTGTCACTTCTTTTAAACATATAGTAGTATTCATGAAACAGCTCCGTGATGTCACAATTTATTCTTTCCTCTCTTGTTTTTCTTTTCCTTCTAGGCTACAGGAAATGGAGATTCTGTACAAAAAGGAGAAGGAAGAAGCAGATCTTCTCTTGGAGCAGCAGAGACTGGTAGGAGTCCATCTTGCATCCTCTGTTAGGAAAAGGGCAGCTTGGTCTCATATACCTTCCCTGTTCCACGGATGAGCACTCTCCCAAAATGCTTATCTAGCTCTCATTGATACCATTCACTATTCTTTCATTTCCTTAGTGGAGAAGGAACTTACATCTCCTGGTAGCCTTAGCCTGAAAAACTGTCCATAAAGGTACTACTTTTGTGCCTTTTATGTCTTAAAGTCAAATCTTTACTTCTATCAAAACCAAGTGCTTCTTGAGGAAATAGTGGGAACTTTTTGGTAACCTTTGCCTCTTGATAGTGGTTTTTGAGTATGCATCAGTGGTGGTTCTTTTATAATAATAATTACTCTGAATATTGAGTTTGGTGGGTGTTTGCCTTGGTTTTGTTTCTGATCACCTGATAGTACTAATTCTCTGCTCTTGGGCTGACTTGGGGATTGTTCTTGTGCTGGACAGACTTTTTTTTTTTTTAGTTAAACTGTGTCTAAAAGTGTTGCTGCACAGTTGCATGTGTTAATCCTTTTCTGTTTCTCCCTGCATGGAGTCTGAATTCTCAATTAGGGTCTTTGTGACATATGGGATGGCAGTAGAAGAAGGGGCCATACAACCGAGTCAGATAGGAGAGAGAAGCCTGGTTTCTCTGGGTTGAGAAAGGGTTTGGATGAGCAGCTGAAAAGGTCACAGCTTATAACGCCAATGGCTTTAGAATTTTATGATGGTAATTGATTTTCCAGGTTTGAGAGAAACTGAATCTCATGAACAAATAAGTTGATCTGTTAGTTAGATTTTCATTTTTAAAGCCATCCAATTTTGGTAATGCCAAATTTGGTTTAATTTTGGTTAAAGCCCTGGTTAGCAGAAGCTTCTTGGCATTCATTTGATATGTAAGAAAAGGGTATAACAAATCTTTGGATACTGTGGATACAGTTTAGGAATTTCTCATTTTTAAGATTATGGACTTCTTTTAAGACAAGGGAGTATTAGGAAGAAAGCAGGGGTACTAGTTTCTTCCCTTAGTGTAAAATACAGCATGTAAACTACAGTAGTACACTATGGCCTTATAGCCATGCTCTACTTTGGAGGAGAGAGGCTACTGCTAAATGGGCCAGAAAAGCCAAGGACTTGAGCAAAAGCAGCGTTTTCCAGGGCAACTCAGTTCTTAGGCTTGGAAGTGGGTTAAACCAGTTAGTCTGTTATCTTGGAAATTATAGTAAAGCCCACAAAAGAATGGACTGTAAGAATAATTCAAGTGTTAGGAGCAAGATAATAGCAGTATTATAGATAAGAGTCTCTTTAGGAGGCCTAGTTGGCATTTAGTTTTTAATGAAAACAAAGATTTAGCTACAATGTGGTTAGGGGCTTGAAAGATTTGTGACACATGAAGGAGCCTTTTATCTTAATAATGTAGTGTCATTTAATAACATGCCTCTGATGGTCTGTGAGAGATCAAACAAGGACAGGTATAATTAAGCTGTATTCATTATTAACAATAGTGCCTTGTATTTGTATAGTGCTTTATAATTTACAGAGAGCTGTAACATCCATCATTTTTTTGATTCCTGAAACAACCCTTTTTGGTAGGTGTGTGTGTAAATTAAATGAGTAATATTACCTCCAGTTTACAGTTGAGGAAACTAAGGCTAAAAAATGCTGTCTTGCTCACTCTTAAACACCTAAGTCAGGGTTCTGTCCAATAAAGCAGTGCTTCTCAGCCACCTGGGAGTCACGTTAAAATGCACATGCTAATTCAGTAGGTCTGGAGTGGGACCTGAAATTCTGCATTTCTAACAAGCTCCCAGGTGATGCCAGTGCTGCCGGTCCTGGGACCAACCTTTAATTAACTAGGTGGCAAAGAATAATGATGGCAGGTGCTCTCTTATACCCAAGAGCTGGTGATCAGATATATGCTCTGAAATAAAGACGATGACCTTTGAATAAAGAGAAAGTAAATGTCTCTAAGACATATTTAGTTTCCTGGGAACACACTTAGTCTGCAACTAATCAGGTTCTGGTTATCATCTGCTGTGTGTATCTCCAAGGAAACGAGGATTTCAAGAGCAGCTTCTTAAAGCAAGGAGGTTGCTTTCCTCCCATAAGTCCAACTGTCTAATTCACTTAAATTTCTTGTCCTCAAGAGGAATTGATTTCTAATGCTTTAGCCTGAAGAATATCTAGCAGTAACGATACTGAATGGAAGATATATTTTTATGACCCTGTATTGGTCAACCAACAGATATATTTCAAATGCATCCTATGAATAAACATTAAGAGGATACAAAGGAATTATTTTTCAGTAAATATTTATTTACTGTTTACTATATATAATTATTTTTGCATAATGACAGCATTAATAAATGGAATTCAGGCTCTTGAGTTTTCTATTATGATAGTTCCCCAAATGCGTCACATTGTTAGATTGCCGAACATTCTCTTATAGTTAGTGCTCTGTTATACACTTAGTCCTTTCTGAGCTTGCTTTTTTATACATGTGTTTTGGTGTCTTCTCTCTTCTATTTGCATAAGCTTCTTATAGAGTCTTCTGGAGACCCTTTTTGCATTTTGGTATTTAATGAAAACAGAAGGATCATTTAGTAACATGTAAATTGGCCAGACATGAGTAGTTTTTCCAACTCTGTAATAAATGAATCTAAATATTTTTAAATCTTTTTTTTTGACATGAGATAGGATATACATCTTGGCACATAAACTTTGCATGCAGAGTTTTTAGTATCATGTCACTAAATGATGGAGGGATGATGTGTTTGAGCTACAAGGAGAACATATTCTAGAGAGTCATTAAAACAGTATTTTAAAAAGAAATAAAATTGTGGCCACTTGATTTAATCTGAGTTCTTTTGGATTTATGTAGGCTCTTTTATTTATGTTTTATTTTAGAATTTAAAGACATAACTTTTGTCTCTCAAGCATAATATTAAAGCAATGATTAGAATATTTGTTATTACTCAAATTAGGTAGTATTCACTTCATCCTTTAGCAATTTTAAAAGGAAAAGAAAACCAGGGGAAAAAAAGTGATAGTTAAGTATGTGGGAAGAATCAGAGTTTGTGTTCTGTGAAACTCAGATTATACGTATTTGCAAGAAAAGCTTTTTAGGAGTCAGACATACCTTTTTCTGTAATGTTTATTAATATTATCTTTTATCACTTAAGATTGACCATTTTGATTTTTTAAACTAAAGATGAAAGAAAAAATAGTGTCTGAATTTAGCTTTATCTGGTTTTTGTTGCTAAATTTTCAAATAGGTGGGGGTTATAAATGGGCTTAGTACCTACTTTGCAGACCAATAGAAATAATACAAATCAGTAGCAACATCTCCAAATTCAGGGGCCAAGTTATTGTCATTATTGTTAAAGGTTATTTTTTTGTTCCCAAGAAAGTAACAATACATAGAAATCTTTGGTCTAGAAAGCAAAATATTATTTTATCAGTTTTGATTCTTTTTTTTTAAGCTCTATACTAGAGATAATTTTGGTAATCACAGCCAAGTAAAAGAGACTATTAAGAATATTTTCATTTACTAGACTACCTTGGACTACTCTTCTAGTGGCTAGTTTCTTTTCCCAGGAACTTTTATCTCCTGAGTAGAAATTCTTGCTTAATCCTGTCCATCATAGGAAATTCTAAATCCAGCATTGCTTTCATTTAGATGTCTGTTATCAGGATTTGCTTCTGTTAGTTAAGAACAATTGATTATTATCCATAGCTCTTGAAACTACGTAGTTTTGAACTTTGGCTGCTGTTTTAGGCCTAAGTAAAGTTTTTTGAAAAAGAGGTAATAGTGCAAAGATAGCTGGAAAGACAGTGTTAGAGATAACATTTTGAAGTGTATCCATTTTACATAAGCAGAAGATGATCTTTGTGTTCTATGTGTTGATGGGAAGAGTTGTCACTTAAAATGATATTCCTCTAACACCTAGAAATGCCATGGGTTTTCATAGATAGAAAACATCTCTCAGTTGTCTTTATTAAAATATTACCTGGGGAATTTAAATGATGTTTAATGAAAGTATATTTGCCTAGCTTAATTTATGTTTTGGAAATTTATTTCTTAAAATTTAGAGGTCAGGTGTTTGTTGGTCTAAGTGTGTGAAAAAACAAAATAGCAGACCCACTATAAGGATCCTTTTTTATGCTTCTTTGTTCTCTGGGTAACAGACTTTAATGTCCAAATGAAATGGATTGATTTGACACGACACAAGAAAGTAGCAAATCCAGTATGTGCTCATGGAAAGACTAGTTTCAAAACCGTCTTCTAGAAAAAATATGATTGATAAAAAACCTCACATGGAATGCTAATAGGGATTCTTAGCATTTTTAACATCATCCCTGTTTGCTTCTTTTTCTACTTTCTTATATTCTAACTTTTTTCTAGGGCTGCTCTTTTTAGTAAAGCTAAACAAATGTGGCATCCTACAGCCTTACTAACCTTTGTTAATCCGCCTGCTCGTCACATCTTGTATGGCATCTGTGCTCACTCATGGGGGAAAGAGTTTCTGGAAGAAGCAACAGCAATAACCAAGGCAAATGTGGGGAAGTGGCTGCATGGGTGTTAGCATGTATGGGGTGTAAGTTTTACTTCATTTTCTTGAGATAGCGGAGATGTTATTTCACACCATTTTGTTAATAACTTCATATGACCTTAGAGTGAGAGACTCACTCACTGTGTCAATCTTCCCAAGAAATTTGATTATAGATTTCATCACTTAAACCGGGCAGTGGAAATTTGGATTAGTGTTACTAAAGCAGCAAACAAATCTTTATATTAATAATAATTTACATATGCCTGTCTCTTAATAGACTTGCACATCATTTAGGGTTTTTTTGTTTCGTTTTTTTTTTTTAGTTTTTTTTTGGTTTTGTTTTTAAATTTGGTTAAGGTTTTTTTGCTTGCTTTTTCTTCAGTTTGATTTTCCTTTTTTATATTTTAATTTTGGTTATTTTGGGGCCATTTTTTGATTTTGTTTTTCCAAAGG